GCATCCGGACGTCATGCTGAGGTTTCTCTTCTTACCACTAGAAACATGGTGTTTCTCAAAACCTTAGCGATGTTATTAAAATTTAGAAACCACTACCCAAATCATCCAGTTTGTTTCCTTAGAATGGACAACGCTCTTGAATTTAAATCTCAAGCATTTGAGTACTATTGCGCAGCGACAGGTATAGAACTTACTTATTCCACTTCTTACAAGCATAGTTAGAATGGTCTAGCCGAAGCTTTTATCAAGAAAATTCAGCTCACAGTCCGACCCCTCCTTTTTCATTCTAAACTTCCACCTTCTTATTGGGGTCATGTTGTCCTTCACGTTGCTATTCTTTTATGTCTTAGACCAACCTTACTTCATACTCAGACTCCGCTAGAATTAGCATCCAAACGAGTCCCGCATATATCACATCTTCGAACCTTTGGTTGTGAGGTTTGAGTACTTGTTGTAGATCCAAAGATGAAATCCATAGAATTCCATAGAATCAAAGGTATATATCTTGGTTTTGACTCCCCGAGTATTATTCAATACAAGTTACTCGATAGAGATGATGTTTACAAAGCTAGATTTCAGAACTGCAAATTCATAGAAACTCGTTATCCCGGCGCTAGACACTCCAACCATATGGAACTTAACTTTAGAGCTCAAGAGACTCTCACCTTAAACCCAGATCCACGAACAGCACTTACAGATTCTAAGGTTAGAAAACTTCTAGACTTACAAAACGTAGCCGAAAAGCTCCCTGACGGATTTCAATCCGGCCCTAGAATACTTCAAAACCCACTACCTGGGTCAAGAAACCCCGTGCCCGCTTCAATACCCAAGAAATGTAAGACTCATACACGAGCAACACTCCTAGTAGAAAAACCCAAGGAATCTTCAAATCTGTGGTCAAATCTTGAGTCATTTGTAACTAGTCTTACTAGTTCTGATTTTGATCCTACTATTTTAGATCAAGCTAGGAAGCGACCAGATTGGTCACAGTGGGAAAAATCATTCAATGTCGAGTATCAATCCCTCCGCAAGCGTTCAGTATTTGGGCCACTTGTAACAGATCTTACAGTCAAACCCATAGGTCACAAACTTATATTCACTAGAAAACATGACGAACACGGAAACGTAATTCGTTACAAGGTACGTCTAGTTGCACAAGGATATACTCAAAAACCAGGAATTGACTTTGACCAAACATATTCCCCTGTCATGGATAGTACTTCATTTCGCTATCTCTTAAGCCTAGCTGTACAACTGTCACTTGAAACAAATCTCCTAGATGGTGTCACTGTTTATCTCTATGGCGACTTGGATACAAATCTGCATATCAAACCTCCACCAGAGTTTGTGCCACGCCTGCCACCAGTCCAACCAGGACATTTTCACGGGCTACGAATCCGGAAGGCACTCTATGGCTTTGAACAAGCCGGAAGAGCATGGTATCATCACTTGAAGTCCTATTTGATTTCTAATGGCTTTCAAAATCATCTTGCTTTACTATGTATCTTTGTTTTGGAGGCAGATAAACAATTTGTGATCCTCGCGGTATATGTTGATGATTTGAACTGTATTGGAATACCAGTATTGAGCAAGCATGTTGAACTCATACTAACTAAATACTTTGAGATGAAACTATTAGGCAAAACATCATATTGCCTTGGCCTTCAAATTACTCATCTTGCAGATGGAAGTATGCTTCTTCATCAACAAACTTACGCTCGCAAGCTTCTGAAGAAGTTCAACATGGACAACGCGAATGCCCTATCAGCACCTATGATAAGGAGGAACAAGACTGACGATGATCCTTATCGTCCTGCTGAAGCCGAGGAGGAGGAGTTGGACAAACCGAAGTATCTAGCAGCCGTTGGCGCACTCCTCTACTTGGCGACAAATACTCAACCCAACATCAATTTTGCTGTCAGCGTCCTCGCCCGTCACAGCCAACGCCCCACAGCACGATACTGGCAAGGCATCAAGCACCTCCTCAGGTACATCCGAGGAACAGAAGATCTCGGTCTTCATTTTCGCCGTGGCCAGAATAATATTATAGGCTATGCCAACTCTGGATTCAAATCAAATCCAACGACTAGCAAGTCCCAAACATGCTACGTCTTCATAAAAAATGGAGCATCCATTTGCTGGATATCAACGAAACAAACAGTCACGGCAACTTCTACAAATCATGATGAGCTCCTTGCGTTTCACGAGGCCGCCCGGGAAGTAGTGTGGCTTCGCACCATGCAGATCGATATATCCAAGATGGCTGGATTTCCACTCCAAGAGAAGCCAACAACAATTTTTGAGGATAACGCAGCTTGTATTGAACAAGTATCTTCTGGTTTCATCAAGTCAGACCGTGTCAAGCATATTAGTCCTCATTTGTTCAGCTACACACAGGACCTCACATAGATGAGCCAGATTGCAGTGCAAAAGATAGCTTCCATGGAGAACATCGCGGATATACTTACCAAGGCATTACCAGCTCCGCAACATCGAAAACTAATAGCCGCTGCTGGGATGTGAACTTTGTCAGAACTTATAGACAATAGTAAAATTAGAATGCAAACGATGACTTCACTCTTTTTCCTCAATCTTTTTGAAGTTTTTTAATGAAGGAGTTCATCGTTCGGGGAGAAGTGTTGAGATCGGTTATCTCTAAATATAGGAAGAGTTTACCTTAACCCTAAGAAGCATCGAGACTTCTAACCGAAAGTCCTTTTATTAATAAAGAGTACACTAACCCTCACTCCCATATCAATATGGTACTGTAACACCCTCCGAGGTCATTTCAATATACTTTACTTTGAGAGTATTTACTGAGAGCTCTGTCTAGAGGGAGAGATCCGAAAGCATTGTTTCTTTTGTCTCACTATTTTGTTCTCTTTCAGTTTTCCTTCTCGCAACACATACCTTCATGCAATCCGACTTGAGTAGAATTCTTAGTACTAAGAATGAGACGGGTTCAGATGACAACTAACTGGACAGTACTTGGAAATCACTCCTCCTGGATCACACTGATCACCGACTCTGCCGCCCTCCTCTGCAGTACAATGTTCCACGTATATCCTAGACACCGAAACTTTTGCTCAACAGTATGGCCGCTATGGCCTGACGTGTATGCCTCGATTAGGGGATTGCAGCTCAATTAGTTAGTTTTCTGATCAGGGGATTGTGCTTTGATTACAAGGGGCCCTCTTATTTTTTTCTTATTTTGGCGCACTCCGCAAAACTATTCACATCGTCGATCATGAGCAGCAAGACCAACAGTTATCCCGTCATCTGCACCCTGTGGAACATGGCCTTGGTCTCAATTGTGGTTAATACAGATTCTGAGGAAGATGACACGAGCCAGTCAGAAAGTTAAACGGAATAGATGGTCTCAATATGTCTAATATATTAGATATTGCAATATATTGTATTGTATTGAAATGCAATACAAATGCATTTTATTGTATTTTCAGAAAACACAATATAATATCAGATAATATTGTTCCGAACTCTTGCCACTCGGTGCTCATGCTACTCCTGCTCTACTTGTCCCCTCTACCCTTCGTTGCTGATTACACCAATTGACTGACCCACTCGTCGTCTCCTCCAGCTTATATACTTTATATATCATACAACTTGTATAGCTTATAGATTTTGTTCCAATTTTACATGGATGATCAATGTTGACATATTGCTCTGGTTTAATAAAAACATTAACAGTACATACACAGAAATTTTGAACACTTACATTTCTTTTTCTTATTTCAGTCTTTAGATGTTTTTACGACATCATGTTTTAAATACGCCTTGCTAAACATTTTCCGCCCCGCATTATTTCACATTCGCATCCGTGACTGGTAAATGTTCTAAGAAATAATGATTTAAAGAACTATATCCAAATCCATCCTATGAAAGAGTAAGAACAACCTTGATTTCGACTTTAAGAACTCAAAGCAATTGAATGTAAACTAGATATCAAAACACCATGCTCAAGATATAAGACATGTAGCTAATATTACGGCATGCAATCCAAGACTCATGACCGATACCATACTTAATAAGAAAAAAAGAGGGTTATAAATGTAAGGAGAGTACAACGGAGTCTAGATCCTTTCATGGCGTCTTTCTACGACTGAATGTCTTCCCCTCGTGAGTTTCGCCATTCCTGATTCCTGCCCAATTCCTTACGGAAATGGGATGTCTGTCGTAAGCCTGTACTTGTACATATTAAGGGAGGACCTCGCCTACCATGTACCTTGTGATCAGGCCAACGATGATTATCTTCATTAAGGCGGACCTTCCAACTTCCTCCGTTTCCTGTACGTCATTGAACTTGCGCAATTCATGAGGCGGACAGGTTCCAATGATTTTTTGGACCGACAGAAGACTCCCCTCCGTGAGCACTACACCGTTATGTAGAGTATGATGTGTACGAGATACGTCTGTTGTATTGCAATTCTATGATCCGTGTCAATGACGACTCGCCTGTACGGTCAAAAGTGCTGATATGATTCTGCGCTTCTTTATTTGTTGCAAGTACTGCCTGTTAAGATCCCTTCCGCGAAAGCTTCGACCTATTGCAATTCTATGATGACTGGTTACGGCGTTTTGTTTGTACGGACGGAAGCAATGATTTGGTGCTCGCTTCCGCATCTGTTACAATGACTTCAATAGACTCATCAGCACAAAGCCGCAACCATCGTCAAGGTGAATAATTCAAATGTTGGGACAAATTTTTCGACAGAAGATTGGAGTGAAGTGAATCATACAAGTCAGGACCAAAGACACAGTCCTACGGATACAGGACCCATCCTGGTGCTGTATAATCTGGACGGCGTGAATGAATGAGATATGGAAGGTGCAACTCTGGCAATCTTGAACATTCTGGGAGATTTTGGGGGTCAGAAAAGGATCGAATGAAGGCTGCTCGAAGTGGATAGAACAACAGAACAACAGAACATCAGAATGGAAACAGACCACATGACAAAGCTGTGAGCATAGTCAATTCAGCCAAAGGAGGACCATCCTGGTACCTCGATCCATTATGTAAACTTCAGAGAGAAGTATGAGAGTCAAGCTTTGCACATTCGATGCAGAATTCATCAGATTCTTTGCGAGCACCCTGTGACATACTTCAAGAATTTATATCAAAGAATTTTGAGACAGGTGCAAGAATGGATGCATCTAGTGACCAAGAGGTCGAAGCACGACACACAATTTTCACAGTTCTGGGAAAATAAGCCTACTTTCGTCCGTGCTCAAGGCAAACTGATGGATAGGAGTCTTTTCAACCGGTGTTCATCACAACGACAACTTCAAGGCATGCTAATATACCAACTGTACATGGATGGATCGTGACCAATATGTCAACAAAGAATATATACCAAATTATGGTACTGTCCAGTTCACCCTAGTCTAACCAGCTGCGCACAAGGACACAAGCTATATACTTTCTTTCTTTCTGTCGGAGCATACCCGTCTTCATCCCGAAACCTCAAAGTCGTTTCATATATATAAAAAATTTCAGGACAAAAGGAAAGGTGTGGGATTTCCGCTGGGTTGTTAAGCAATACAAGGATTGAGACGCAGTGTGGCCTCCTGAACAATCCATGGACTCATACGTAAGCAGAAGAATGAAGACTTTCGCCCTGAATTCATTGCGAATAAAATTTGTGAGATGCAGAATGCCTTTCCAGAGGCGAGACAAGCAGGCACACACAAGACTAAGAAATTCTAGAATGAAAACCATAATCTTGTTTAAGGAGCATAAATGTTGAAAAGAGAACATTTTCTCAGGACGTACAGCTCTTAGAGTGCATGCATCCTAATGTAGCTACAGTTCTGCGCGCACTACTCGAGCCACGTATTTGTCATGGGTAAGGACCGTTCAATATAACCTACAGCATGACTAAGACAGTGAACTTTCAAAGTTCGCCTAACGCAGCACGAAAAAGAAGCGAGACAATGACGATTCGCGGAACTCATACGATGTCTCACTCATAATTCGGTGCTTCCTGAGCGACGGATAGAAATCCCACAAATGCTACAACAAACCACATTGCAGAAATGTGCCTTTTTCATGCAGTACAAGTCACGTCGTAAGATCTGCGAGATATTATATGGTTCTGTTGTATGCAAACATGCTTACGTGGACATCAATTAGCTTGTTGATCCAATTTGGCTATGTGTTGACTATTTGACATTTTTATTACAAACTACGAAAAAAAATGCGAGGATATCCTCAAGTATTTACAATGGTTACCAAAGAAAGCTCTTGATCATCGGTTGACAACTTTGCCAGCCAATCGTTACTCAAGTTTGCACTCTTCCATTGTATGCGTGATGATGCCAACATAGGCATTGCGAACACTGAGGACGCAGGGATTCGATCTTGACCCATCCCCAGTAGCATTTGACATGTAGTCTGGAACACACATACATCATGACGACGGTTGTAAGTTAGTTTGGGAGAACGTCGGGAGAAAATCGCGTAGAAATACAGCACTAAACGGTGAAGGTCTTTGGCACTCGGTATCAAGAAGTAAGTGCTTTCAAATTTATCAGATATCTACTAGGTGCACACGAAGGTTAACACAACTGCATATTTCACTTTCACTATACGGTCACTTTACGCTATGGATATCAACGATTCAGATGCATTGAGAATCTTCTCTAGTTGGAAAGCCCCCTCCATAGCTAGAAACCAGTAGTTACAAAACTCTGAAATAACGAAAACAAGAAAACAAGAATCACCTTAGCCTTCGCCACAAGCGCCGTGGCGTCTTTGAGTATATGCTGAACAAGGGTTTTCCTATCTTTCTCCTTCAGCTCCCGTTGATCTGATGCGATTGGCCTGCAGTGTCATTATGCACAAGTCTCAATACATCTAGCGTTGTTTATACACAGATCTGCGTAAACGATTGCCAATCCCGTTATTCGAAGTGTGAAGAGAAGAAGGCTGAACATACCCATCGACCATATCCATCAGGGGTATAGACTCTGTTGGATTGGTAGGAGGCCCAGACTTGGTCCCGTGACCTGCAAAAAGTTAAACTAAAGTAAGCGTGGTGCACTAGTTTGGATACTTCGTAATACTTTGCAATCATTGATTCACCACCAAAAACGAAATCAAAATCGCCAATTTTCGAATTACTCGTACCAACGCCAGGACTGGGTTGTACTGCTTACCCTTAGGGGTCTGAGGAGCTAAAAGCGACATTCCTAAGAAGAGAGCAAACATGCCCAAAGCGAACATTGATGCCCTGGGACCATCAAATACCTGTTCAACAACATGGAAAACGAAACATATGGTGAGATTCTTTGCAACCACATCAGGACACAAGGAGGTTGAAGCCAGCAGCAGCCAGAAAGGCAGTTCAAAGTGTCCAATCTCATGACGAAGATTAAAAAGCAGCGCTTATCTTTTTGACCAATATAAGTGACTTGAAGTTTGACCCTGCACTATATTCGAGCTCATACGCAGCACAACTGATAACAATAGCTTGGACTTTCATTGAGGAAACACACCTGGTACTCCTCAAAATAAATGAAGCCAGTAAAGATGGAGAAGAACGTCCAAGCAATTTGCAACATAGGAACGATAAGAATGGCGTCAAACATCGCAAGTCCTTCGTTCAATCTTGCCATCTGCACGAGCGGGAAATATTGATTATTTCGACTGCGCATGGCCCCGGATAAGGAGCCCGTTAGATTGTAACACTGCCAACGAACTGAACGAAAGTCTCCGGTTCACTGACATCTATCTACATGAGAATCACATACCCAAAATGAGGCCGTCCCAAGAAACAGGAAAAAAATGAGGTAGGTGAAAAACGCATCGAGTTGAGTTTCACCACTTAGGGTCAAGCGCATAAGAATAGACCTGTCACAACACAGTAAGTGCTTTGTCACGCTATATCCACAATAAAATTACGGCTCATGAGAATAATATGAACGAAATGGACAGAACTTATGAACTTGTAAAGAATAGCTTACAGCACAACCTTATTGATATAAACTCAAAATCTTAAGACCTGAGTGAGGGGCTTACAGGGACTTTGCAAACAGCACCGAGTGAGTACCGATCGCCCCAGATACTATGGCGTATGATAATGGCACCATTGTCCGCCAAAATGTTCCAACAGCTTCCTCACCACGGGTCATTACCAAGTGTCGTCCACGTCTACAGGAATCATTGGGGTCAATTGATTACTTCTCAGTTAGATACCGACTGTCTCTCCCATCAAGTAAGAAGTAACAATGTCCATCATCATTAAGATATGTGAAGATAATTCCGTGAGATGCGTATCAAATATCCTCTAGCTATGTCCAAGAAAACTGAACGACCATCGGACAACCACGGTGTGAATATTTACTTGTATACGAAGTGCTGCGAGATGACTATCAAGATAAGGAGCGCACAATATCCAAGATACAGCGGGTCCTTATAATTAGCTAGAAGTTCCTCATTTGTGTATGCTGCAAGGAGAATTTGAACGAATCAGAATCAGTAAGTACATGACAAACGACGCCGGAGTGCGTTGCGAGCAAATCTAATGTCTAGATGACCTTGTCAACGTACCAAACAGAAACAAAAAAGAATCCATGTGAATGCTTACTTGATGATTGATGATTGCCAAACGCGACTAGAAATATGTTCCCAACAACTATGAAAGCCGTCGCAAACAATATCCTGCAATGAGGTCATGAAAAATTAAGCTCCTGAATCCAAAACATCAAACTATACAAAATAACTGCTGCATAAAGGATGAATTCAAATGGTAAGTGCAGATTCCATATACCTTCCAGTCACAGTCTCATTCAACACCAGATAAGCAAAGCCGACATTTGATACAAACTGAACCGAGCCCAAAGCTGCCAGCAACGACTGCATAGCACAACCAAGGACAAGAATTAGCATTGACTGTGGTGGGTCCTCAAGGAAACGCCTGAGAAGACAGGCGCTAACCTGGCTACAAACCTAATTGAAGAATAAAAAAACGCTTTGGGAAACAAAGAAATTGCATTGTGACCCAGATATACATGGATCTTCAAATGGTGGATATCGCTCCCAAAGAAATGAAAATTAGATACTTTATTATATGAGGAAGCAAAGAATTAACGGTAGGAGAGATTCTGAAAAAAGAATAAAAACTGCTACTTGCTGTGCCAGCTAGTATACTTGGAGATACAACCTGGATGACTAAACGTAGATTACTCACGTATATAGTTATATTTAAGTAGCGAGATCAAGTAGAATACTCACTATGACAGGCGGGGCTGTGAAACTGAAAAGTAAGGCAGTACAGTTAAGTTCCATCATAAAAACGAGATGATAACAAACAAATCAATTTCACACGTGAAGTAACCTCAATGTAATCTACTGGAATGGAGCCTGAAGGAAGGAACTGTCATGTGAAACGGTCCGATGCTAGTTGAATGTTATTGGGAGCAAGCAGATATCGAGTGTAAATGACGTACGAAAGAATATGAAACCCAGGAAAAACTAATTAGAATTTTGGATAAGTATTGTTATCAGGTACCATGAAGGTACGTGGGAAGAGAAGTGAGAGCTTGGATTCTAGGGAAACCATATACAGTTCCAGAGGCTTTTGTTATCGTAGAGAGTGATCGCGTATCATGTACTAAGATGTATCTACGTAGCGAGGTCGAGTTGAGGTACTCAACACAAGTGGCGGGGCTATGACTTCAACTAAAATCTGTGCTAGTACAATAGAGCTGTGACTCACAGCTTGCAAAACCACGAGAAACAAGATATTTTGGCATGTGATATAAAGATACTGTACCTACTTCAAATGCAGCCCGGGCAAAAGCGCTGTATTGCAGTCCAATCCGGTGCTGCTAGAAAGTTCTTAAGATGCAAGCGCAAGTCGAGTGCAGATGAATTCTCCTCAATTTCAAAACATTTCGAAACTGAGGAGAAACTAACTAAGAAGCTGGAAGACAAGTATTAACAGATACGCAGAAAGGGATGTGCAAGCTGGAATTCCATGGATACTGTGTAGAAATCCAGAGGCTATAGTCAACGCAGAAAGTGACCGTATATCTACCTCATAGATCCCCTTGAGGAATTTATCTTAAAAACAAAAGCCGTGACACCTGAAGTTTCAATTCCAGGTCGTCGCACAGAGTTTCGAACCAGAGCAAGATACACTCACAATATACTGCAAATATAATAGTCTGAGGTGCTTCACTGGGAAAAGAATAAAATTGGATTATTTAGTCTTGAGTATTCATGAGGCAGGAGAAGGCACAATAAATGCAGAAATATAAACTCAATCCTCATTCTTGATTGCTCCTTAAATTTACTCGCCTCGAACCTACAAGTCAAAGCACAATAAACACCGTAGAAAGAGGAACTACCTGAAGCCAAATTTTATAAACTAATCTTCTGCACTAACGCTTTAGCTTCAACGCATTTGCCAAAAATCACTGCCTCCTTGCAGCCGACCTTACGGTTAAACCGTAACAGTTGTGACGGCATACTGATCGATAAAACGTATGCAATGTAATCCAATCCAATCCAATCCGATATAAAACATATATAAAGAAAGCGGTAAAAAACAGGACCATCCGTACAAATTTCCTCGGACACCCACGAAAACTCTTTTCTATAAGAATGATATAACACTCATCTTGAGGAATTTTTTGGCTACGATTCCCTGATGCACAGATCTAAGTCAACAACCAAATTTTGTACACTCGCAAACCGTTGCTAGTATCCAGCTTGAATGGTGAGAGGCATGTATTAATTTCAGAATACGCTTACACAGTCTCGACACGCATCGAGCTATGGTTATTGTCAGACAATGTGTCATCAAAAGGCCAGAACTTTGTGATGATTTCTACTTACTGATAAACAAAAGTTACCCAAGTTACAGAGGCAAACAGACCGAAACGACTGACTAGAAACAATGGCTACTAACAAAGATCGGTCAGGCTTGAGTCAGAGGCCATATGACTTGATTCGATGGGGCCTTACGGTAATGGAGGCTCAAGGTCTGCAAAGTGGAGCGAAGGCAGACAAAATCTACTTCTTCAAGTGGATGTAATCGTAGACAACTGAGCTCAGACTACGATCATGCATAGAATATTAAGGGCTAACTAGAGGAATCATAGAAGCAATAGAATTTAGATGTCATAGAGCTTCCAGTTAAAAGACATGCAGGTGGCAATCTCTCTCCCCCCTATAGTAAAGTTTTCCAAAGGTTAGGGAACAGAGGCTGATCCTCGACTCTTAATTAAAATCTAAAACAGTAGAAGCACATTTCATCTTGCCCGCTGCCTCAAATCCCGCCTCCCGTCACCATTGCAATAGTCATATACACACATCTGTCATTTCCTGCATGACAGTAATACTTCGTGATATTTTCAACAAAACTCTGCTCCTTTCTTCACACAAAGGAGGCAAATCGGTCTAACCTGTGCGGCAAATCCGAAGGAGATAAAGTTGAGGCAGTTTCCCAGAGAGAAGACTATCACACCTGCAGATGCGAACATGCTCAGCACAAGGAGCAACAGAGAGCAGATAATTATCTCAAAAAATCCTCTACTGTTGTCCGGGCTTTCTGGGTTCGACAAAGGTGTAAATTGTATCATGGTTCCAGTTGAAGAGCATGAGGAACTGTAGCTGCACTCATTGGAATTTAGCTGTCATACCCTGAACGATGAACAACAAATAAGAATTTAAAAGCAGCTTACCGAAACGCCATGCTTGAAAATGGGTAACAGGTTTTCTCGAGACAGTTTTCTCTCCAGATTCGCCGGCCTCAAGCACCGCTGATCTTTCCCGCTGCGTTCCAATTAAAAGACATACACAAGAAACGGTCTCAACAATGTGCACATGTACTGGGTGAAATCCACGGTTAAAGTTAACAAATTCTCACTAATCCATGTGAAGCCTCCATTCTCTTCAAGAAGGAAAAATTTAAGCTTTTCTTAGTAGAAACAAGCAAGCAGTTTCCGTCCCATACTCATCTCTACTCAAGCAATCACATGATCCATGAATAAGATGAGAAAGGAGAAGCATGATACGCAAGAGGACATCCTTTAAGACTTTCCAGCACCACAGGCAGCAGCTTCATTGACAATTCACACGTGACTTGAATATCTCGAAACAATTTCTTTGAATGCTTCGGAACTGCCTTTAGATGGAAGTCAATGACATGGTAGAGAGCTTCGCGCATATGGACGAAGGGTCAATTGAAAAACAGAATCGAAACGTAAATCGCTGGGAATGAGCAACAATTTTCTACAGATTGACTTGCTGAGCTTGGTATCTGATGCTCAACTCTTGTCGCCGGAACATGCAAACTTCTGTGAGGTTTTCTCCTCTGCATTGTTGCACAGGTTGATTATCATAAGAAACTTGCGCTGTTTTTTAAGTACTTCCTTTAAGATTGAACTGCCATGCACATCATCAGGCACTTAGATTGTCCAAATTTTGTAAGCATTAATACTGGCATACCAGTGGTAATGCATATATGTAATAACTAGGAACGGTTACTTTTTGTACTACAACTGGCACGGATAATTCTGGTCTAATAAAAACTACAGGTGTCTTTTCTCCAGCTACGAGATCGTACTATCATATGCAGTAAAGGTGAGACATTTCTCTAGGTTTTCAGCTTTTGCTTCCGACGTTTTTCTTCAACATCACCGCCCTCGTCCAAGGGATTTCTTCCCTTGACTTTTAGAGCTCCGACTTTCGAATCAAGGCCATACAAATCCCGTGACAAATCTATTAATGACACATATCAGATGTTCATGGATCTCTTCTACAATTCGAAGGTGATAGGAGGCCTACGCGTGGATGCAAGATCTGATCATATACTTTGAACAAAAGAGTGTTGAGCAGTTGCGCAGAATGCAAGTTTTCTACCAGTCAAAAGCGGTTCTTTACAAGGTGGTCCCTCGAGCACTTCCGCTTGTAGAATTACGAACGTGTGCAATTTAAGCAAGAAAAGGAATCATAGCAATTACATGCTGCGGAACGATAAAAGCGCCGTGGAGAAAAGGATTGAGTTTCAAGAATAAATAATGACATGGCTCTATCCGCAAAGGAATGCCCAAGGCAAGTAAGTGGTTGACAGAATCAAGATCTTTCGGTCCTCTGATCTTTTGGTGTGAATTGAATCCAATGTGCTTCGATCACCGCTCATTGGTTACCGGACCCATTCCAGCCAAGATCTCCAAACAGGTGGTGCTTAAGACAGAACTCTGACCTGATTATGACCTAGCTTGAGTAGATTCGTCCCGAAATTGATCCCAATGCTTCCAATAATATTGATCGCGGCTCCAGTGACCCAATCTCCCATTGCAACGCCTACGACTAAAGAACGGAAACTCGCAAGCCCTCTTCAGACTCCCGCATTAGGCCACTGGAATCTATTTTCTGACACTGAGTTTCCTCTCGCTTCTTCTTGATTTGTGGTAGTGATCCAATCTACCGCCAGCGCTCGGGGCCTGTTTCCAAGGGCACAAATTTCCCTACAAATGTCCGCATCATCTCATAGCAACCTGTCCAGCAATTGCTCCCCCTTTCATGCCAAACTCAGATAGAGAAGGAAGAAGATCTGGCCCTGTTCCTCGTCGTCTCCCTCTCCCTTCGAGAGCGCTTTTACAAAGTCCTCATTTTCGCCGGGCCTTGGCATCTACACCAGCAGGTGCTAATCCCAGCCCTGTCCTGTCGAACATGACCGCATTCGCCGAAGCCAGGCAAGGGCCTCAATTCCGCTTCACCGCCCGAATGTCCAACGTCGTCGGGAATGACCGCTGACCTGAATGACCCATCAAGAAAGTTGGCAGGCGGCGTCACCTCAACGTGCACACACCACACGGTGCTTCTAAACAACAAACGGACATCAAAGATCTCAGGCAAACAGGCATACAAACGTCCAAATTCGTCTTTCTGATGAAGTGACCCGAAGGAGCCCACCCCGCGGGAACGAACTCGCGATGCATCTTAAGATCCTCGCATTTAAAGCAAGGATTGGACCAATCCACAACGAGAGAGAGCAACACACCAACCCACCTACCGCTCGGCTTATTTTCAACAGATCATTCCCGCACCAGATCCTCCTCCTCTCCTCCTCCTCCTCCTCCTCCTCCCCTCGACTCGTATTTCGCACACGAATCCAGCGATCTTTCTTCTTCTTCCCGTCCTGGTTCGTTCTTCCTTATCACCAGGAAGACGGGAAGAGGAAGTCAGGCGAAGCCTACACACCTCCCCTCTTTCGAAACCCAAATGCCCTCGGGGCTCGGCTTTCTACCCCACTCCTCCACCTGCCCTCTCCTGCATCGCTCTCCTCCCTCTCCCTCTCCTCCCTATCCTCGCCGTCCCGTCCCACGGAAATGCAGCAACTCGTCTCCCTCTTCTGGCCAACAAAAGTCAAACCCCAACAACGCGGAATTAAAGCGACCCTCCTCCAGACACTCTTCTAAAACCTGCTCCCTCTGGTTTTTTGGCAATGGCAATGCGCGCAGAGTCTCAGAAAGCCTGAACAAACCTTCCGGGCCCTTCCTTTTCCCTGTCCTTGCTTGACCTTCTAAGTCCCGTCAAGTCTCCTCCCCCCCACCAGCCCCAGGCCGGAAATTCCCCTCGCCATTCTTCGCCATTTGCTTCTTTCCTTCATTCTTTCCGCCTCTTCAGTCTAAGGCAGCCAACGTCAGATCCGACCCTGGCCAACCCAACCGGGTCCCAGTCCAGCGACTCGAGGCCAGGCCAATCCCTCGGCCCCAGTCTCGGTCTCGGCTCAGCGAACAGAATAGAACAAAACACGCGTGATCAATACGAGGGCCCACGAGCACGCAGTGCAGTGCTGTGCAGTACACACAGAGTGCAGTGCAAGGTGCCCTCGCTCTCTCCCCGCTTCTCCAACACATTATTCATCCGCCATCACCGGCAGCAGAAGAAGCAGCAGAGGCAGAAGCAGAAGCAGCGCCCTCATTCTATATTTCCATATTTATTTCATTCATTCCCGTGATTCCTTTGATTGCGCAGATCCACAAAACGATCTCTTCGCTCTCGATCGTCGCATCTTCCCCCATTTCTTGAACCGGGGGAAGCGACACTCCCACATCCCTTTTCCTCCTGCTCCCTGCGGATGGATGCCTGTCGATGTCGAGGGTGATGCTGGCGGTGGCCTGACGCAAGCACCAGCAGCAGAATTATTACGAGCTCTAGGGCATCACGGCCAGCTTTGGCAGCCTCCGGTCAAACGCGAGTTAATTCGAGTTCAGTTAAGCTAAGCATTGGGAGAACGGGACGAGACGAGAGGAGGTAAAAATGACTCATGGGTAAGGTAAATTTGACTTGACCAGACCGGACCGGACCGGACCAGACGGGACGAGTTACGAGAGCGGAGTCAGCAGACCGCTCTTGGCGCGTGCGCTCCCATGTCCCGGCCTGCCGAGCACGGGAAGGGTGGGCACTAAGTAATGTGGACAAAGTTGAATGACCCCATCACGCCGTACAGGGAGGGATGAATCAGGGACTACTGTACTGTACAATACAGCGCTTTAACTGTATTTGTTGGGGCTTGTGCGTGCGCAAAACCATTTCCGGCGTCGTTCCCGCTCGGTCCTGACCAGGTTCAGGAACTACGGTACGGGAGGGTGCCTTCGAAAAGGACAGGCCGGGCCGGGATATGATCCCTCCCTTTTATTTGCCCCCTTTACTTATGACCAGGTCGAGTTCGCCTCTGGTTAACCATGGGTTGCGCCAAAAGTGTTGCAAACCCTGGATTCGTCTAAATTCACCTCTTTCTGCCTACACGTGGTTGCCAGTCTAGGCCCGGGTAGAGGTGGTTTCCGAGTCGGGAACTTGGTCGAACTTTCCGACAGACGTCCTTTGTACGTACATACAACTCTTGACGTATGAATTCTTTTTGCTACATTGCTTGGTCCCCATTGGATTAACTATTTACTTGGCTGCCTCTGGAGGAAAGAACGGGAGCAGTCGTCGATTTCGTCATTTTTTTTAGCTATACCACTTTGTTCCCCTCCGCCGTCAATTAGGCTGAACGCGATCTCAAGCGCATCTACTGATAGTAACTCAGAGTGATGGGTGATACACAATGAATCATCGCAGATTTTGTCCTACTGGATATGTTATGTTTATTCTCTATAAGTGCAATACAATGTGATATATCCGGGAAAAAATAATTTGGGTAGTTGCATTTTAATTATGGTTACAACTCACCCTCACTCTCACGATGGCATAGAATATTGAATGGTAGTAAGAATTGTGGATGTACTTAGCTAGGTCTGATTGGAATCGGAGAGGTTTTGTATAAATTTGGATACAAAGTACGGTAAGTCCAATTCCTAAACCAATTGCATTTTGGCAGGCTTCAGATTAATGCAAAACCTCCAAACGATCTTTAGGCAAACTTATATCGGAGGAGTTGTTTGCTTTAAGTTTGTATAGCTTTGTATCAAGAGTATTATAATTGAATGAATATATCAATAATCAAATCTGCAAGAGACCCACTGGAAGTCTTACCATATTTTTGCAAGAAGGTGAATTTGCGTCAAATTTTAATGTGTTGCATAAAACTAACAGTCATTAAATGAATGTTTATGGATTCAACCTAGTTAAACCATATCCCTTTATTTTTATGTTATAAATCGGCATGAAGACTTATAACGGTTTGGAAGTATGGAGTCGGACTAGTACTGTATATCGTGTACCATTTTTAGATTGCACGTATCCATTACTCACAAAAATAGCATTACCTAGTACAACCACTTTTTGTGATCATTCACTGTTTGGACCTAGGTAACTAGGGCAGATGATGTAATCTTCCGTTAAGTAATATATAATTACGATTTCGAGGATGGATCCAGTCAATCTTCTCTCCGTTCCATGATGATCTTATAGTTGGGTTCACTTGCAATCGTGAACATGTAAGCATGTTCATGATTGCAAATAGCAAGCGACCCTGACTCAAACTATGTGCTTGGGCTTTCATCACGTCCAACCATTAGAAAGGTCTCAATTCCAAAATAGTGATTTATCAGGATAAAATTAATCCAGTTTTTTTAAATCAACCTTATATTTAGGTGGATATTACTTTAGTACAATTTATGGATACTCAACCGTATAGAGTGAATTTTTGAGTGAGAAAATATATGTAGTAGAAAGAGTCATAGCAGAATAATACTTTTGAGATCATATCATGAAAATCTTTATTTTGAAAATATAAAATAAATTTTTAAAAATTATAACATTGTTACATGGAGCCAAACAATTTAACAACATATGCTTCTCCACTCAATAGCAACAAATAAGACAATGAAGTTTGAATTTTGTATCTAAAAGTTGTCCAAATGAAAAGCTTACTAAATTTTCCATTTTTTTATGTATGAATATATCTAATTTATAGAATCATATTAGATGTTAATTTTCCTGCATTTATTTCATTGATAAGTATTATACAAGAAAAAAATAAGTAGGCGTTCAACTATAATAATACAAAAAAAATTATAAAATTGAAATTTTTAATTTTTAATTTTTTTAATGTTCAAATATTGACTGTTTCATGATCTATTATGAGCAATAGAAATAATGCACAACTCCATGACACGTTAAATCTTCAGGAATTCAGAGATATCATCAAAATATTATATGTCAACAGTATATATGATTTATCATAAAAGTTGATTCTATAAGTTAAAGAAAATTGAAAAACTTTAAATATACACAATTTTATATTTTATCCATCTAACAACATAGCAGCTTAAGAGAAAAGTTATAAGAAGAAAAGATTATATCATTTTTTTGAGGTTTTAGATTATATTGGGCTATAATAGTTAACGTTGCTAGAGTCCATGGTAAAATTTCAAATCACTCTCCTAGAAGCAACACCTTTTACAACTCACTTGGCAATTGAATACGACTTAGCAATTAAAAATATGTGCTCCAGTCCATATATGAAATTAATAAACTCAATGCAATATTTTTTTATTTGGCAGTGTCAATAGATGTTAGAAGAGTGAGATTACAAAATCTTCTCTTTAACTTCATCATACATTAACTCAATTTAGCTTTGTGATTTGTTCCGTTTGTCTCATCTTCATGATGAAGTCACTTGCAAGTTCGAGCTCTTCCAATGGAATCATGATTTTGCTCAGTTTCTCTATGATATCAGATAGCGCGAGTCATTTAGGAGTGTTCATATAATGTTCCTTTCACATTACACTCAAATCAAATGATTAGCAAGTCAATTTTCTTAAGTACGCACTTTGAACCCGGGAGTGCTGTGCGTACTTAACCGAGGGAGACTACTGTATGCAAAAGAATACTGAGAGGTGCAGAGTTAACTAGATGGAGGTTAGAGCACACTAATTAACTCTTTTGCTCCAACGGCTCGAGTTGACATGGGAGGGGAGGAGGTTTGCATCTCGATATGCAGTGACGATAAATTACCACACGAACATTTCGCACAGGTTATTTAGCTAGTGTTTGACGAGAAAAAAATTCACATCACCATAGGTATACGCTCACCTCTTTACAAGAAAATAAAGAGTCAGGAGAAGCAGATAAAGACGTCTCCCTACATCAAAGTCCAGATGCATGCATCAATTGGTAGACAAAGGGTTAGCCGTCTGAAATGAAGGTGGAAAGATAATGAGAAGTTTTTCCGAATATGCTAGAAGAAGATAATGTTTCACAAATGATGGGAGTGCAAGAGGAAGAGGTTGCATTGCTAGAGGAAGAGGAGAGCCCACCAACATTCTTCCAATCAGCCGTTTGGAGTTGTGAAAGTAGATATTGTTGTCTTCTTGTACAAAGGGTAATGTGAATGTACGATATATTACCATACTATGTGACAAGGGAAATTATTTATTTCTTTATTCATATTGTGTTTTTTTTTATCAATTGATCTTACCAGAGAAGCTTACTTGATTTGATAAAGATTCAGATGCAGGCAACGTAGAGCTACTTAAGGAGAGTAATTACTTTATGTGATTGTTCGTTGTATCTTGATGTAAATTTTGATGCAGCCGACTTAGATTTGTAGGTCATGCTATGGTAGGGACAGTACAATGACGACAGGGAGTGTATCCATCATTTGGGATTGGGATGACTAAAAGCTTAGGGGGACAATGTAGAACAGGGAAAGAGAAAAGCCTCTTGAAGTGAAGGACTTGGCGATGAGATAGGCCCAGAATAAGTTAGCAAAATTGACACGAAGAGAAATACGGGAGGAGAAGAGCCTTTAATTTCATTCCAAAGGAAAGCTTAGTTTGCAGGAGGATCTCACAATCACCATTGCGAACGATGGCCTAAATGACAATAACGAGATGGCATAATCGGTACAGCCGAGGAACGCTAGGAGGAAAATAATAATAAGTTAAAGCTACAATCCTTGTAGTATCATGTGAATAAATACTTGTAGCCTAACTTGGATTATAGGTTACAATATACCGGAATTGTTTGCAGATCCTTTTCTCCTCACCGAAGGGGAACAAGGAAAGCTTCAGTTTAATTCGGGTTGGACAAGAGCAATTCGAGGCTTAAATGTAAATTTCAATTTATGTAGCAGGTCCAATGTTTATTCGTGAGTAAAGAACACGTCGTCTTTTATCAACAGCCATAGAGCCCCTCGCGAATTCCACCAGAAACCGAAAGTTAATGCCCCAACTACGGTTAACGGTGAGCTAACCTTCAAGTCAGGTGATCAGACTCGTCTACGAAGACGATCCGCAAAATTCCAGGCCTCAAATGTGGAATTTGCGATGATAATCGAAAATCTTAATTAAATTAAACCTTATAAATTAAGTAAAAATCATGGATTTTGATTTCCCCTAATTTGGAACCATCTGGGCTCACAAGTTGCATATCGAGCTTGAGTTACGGTGGAGAACAGAAGCTGGGATTGGGTTACGAACCGAGGGCTCGGAGGGGTCACATGTTGCGCATGGCCTGAGCACGCAGGAAACGGGTGTTCCCTCCACGCTGAGGCGTCCGTGTGATTGCTCAGCTCGTGGGCCTAATTTCGATCTATTCTGCCGATAAAACAAGCGCAGCGTTGCAACTGCGTCCTCCTCCTCCCTTGGGTTTGGCTGGAGAAGGTTACCAGCGTTTCTTCAGCTGTAAATGTACGACCTCTGTTTGGGCACGAGATCTTTGTAGGACCGAGTTGTTTGCTTCTCGGCAGCCCGAGGATGTCGGATTCAGGCTCATGTTTATTCGCTGAGCAATTCCCAATAGTGATTGATGTACATCTGAATGTTCGTTTGCAACATGGTGGACCGAGGAATCAAGAGTATGCGGATCTTTGAGATCCTTGGGTGGCGGTGTGGAGATATTTTCAGCACTTGGATCCTCCCGAACAAGATAGACACAAGCATTTGACCGGAATGTTGACGCTCGTTATGCATGTATGTCTTCACATTCCTTCGGTCAAGAGACTTATAGTTGATGGTTATACTTTACAAAGACAAACATTTTTTTTAAATTTTTATGAAGGCTTGTGATTTTCAGATGATAAGAATTTCATATATAACATTCTTGGCTTTTTGAGCAACGTTTTTATTATTATTTTCTGTAGATCGTTTGATACAGATAATATAATCCTTGGTAATGTTAAAAAGGGAATCTGCTGAGAAGATGATTTTCTACTCAACTTATCCTGAAGATATCAAATAAGGCGAACTTTTTCTTTAGACAATGACCACAAAAGTTAACTTTATCTTGATAGATTGATATTTTTTGTAAACTCTACAAATAGTCTAAGTAGATAAAGCCATTTCTCTAACCAATGATGTCGTAGATGATAACGAGACAAATCGACCATGCATAAAGCTTTTTGACTCACAAAAATTACTTATCAAACAATGATAAGATTTCGCTTTGGTTTGATAGATCTATCAATACCATTATGATCATGATCATCCATGTTTTCGGATCGACCAAAGATCCCAAGGTATAGAAATATAAGAACATGTGAAGAGTTTACATCTGTGTTTCTAGTTGGGAATTATTATCAACTATAGATTTGAATCTAATATGTTTTTTCGAAGAGTGATGGAGGAGACTAACATGATATATGAGATGAATATCATTTTTTATCATCACAATGTATGATCTAGTTAATAAAATATTTTTTTATTGTAACGAAGTATCAACCTTTAGTTTTCTACACTAGATTAGCCAGTGACAGTTCTTTATATATTTTTCATGTTGATGTTTGTTTAACCTAGATGATTGCTCCAAGTTACATTTCATACATGTACAGCTCGATGAGTTTTCCCAACCTTTTTGCCATATAATTGGATGCCCTGGTAGGTAGCAGGACGATAAAAGAAGAGTTGACCACCTGACGCCATGCAAAAGACAATCCGACCGGGCCTCATGAAGAGTACAACGAAGTGACCTGAGCAACCAGCCCACCTAAATCTGAAATTCGCCATCAAACTGCTTCAGCTCATTCACGATGCAGTCACGGACAGCAGAACTTGTTCACTGATTTCAGACTTCAGGTACATCTTCTGAAACTCGTCTCCCCCACTCTGAGGGCCACTGCTCCACTGCAAAAGTAAGAAGCTGGGGGACAATGTGGAGGGAGGGAGCACTGCGGCATTGTATGGCATTATGCGGATTGTACCTTCCTACAAGACTCGTCTCGGTTCGGCTACAAAAGGTGGAACGGATATGTGCAGAGCAGAATGTTTTTCTTGTAGGCCTTCAGTTTCCCTCATCGATGGTACCCATGAAGACTGATTCTCCATACCCAATCCCAACCCTTTGCCTTCTCCGGGGCAGAATGGATATTTTGTTAGGTCTCACAAGTGTATTATATATGTATATGATTAAACTATCGTCCTTGTATCAATTGCAATACTATTAGATAAAATGTTGTAATCTTTGAGTTGAAGTAATGGCGCTCATGGGCTCAGTCAATGGACCATGTCATGTAATTATTTGGTCATCTCCGTGTCTTGACGATAGAACATTCGAAAATGGTAGGACTAGTGACTAGTGACTAGTCTCTCAGTCAACCTGAACGACGTTCCTGGCAGACGGAAAGTACTTTCTAGAAGAAGTGATCCACACGTGGAAGTCATTAACATATTTGTCAATTTTGGGTCATTTTTCAGTAGAAAGTTAAGATGTGTCATTCTCGAAGATCCTCAACGGAAGACCTGTCTGCTCACAAGTCGTTGTCGCTCATGGGAGACTCGTTCACATTCCAATGTTCTTCGAGTATCGCCATCGACCAGTTTCAGTTGTCTCCGGCCCCGGGCAGGCACTGCATTCAGGATCGAACTCTGATGACAAAAGTATTACTCCTGTTGACCTCCATCCCTATCTTCACCTATCCCAAGACTATAAACTGCACAGATCACGTCGGAGTGATGGAGGGAGAATTGCCGAGAGAGGCCAAGAATCAATTGGAAACCGAGTACAGAAAAAGAGGAAAAAGGATGTGAAGACCCATCGAGTCAAGTCGGACACGGATGGAATCGGACATCTGTTACCCAGCACTCGAACGATCCAAAATTGATTTACATCAAGCCCGAATTTGGGTTCCGCTTATCCAGCGAGGAGGAGACAATACGGGGCTCCTGCACAGTATTCGCACCGGCTGGTGGGCATGATTGGTCGACGAGGAGAAAAAGACATGGTGCCACCTTTTGCATGAATTCCTCCGGCTTGCCACATTCATTAGGGCGTGGGACAGGTCTGGTGGAAGCATCACATATGCCAATGAAGCGAGCCCTACGACGGTCCTAAAAATTCCATGTCATGTGGTAGAGGCCAGTCAAAGGTGGCTTGTGTTGCCCAATAATACATCGGGCGATACTTTTCCGAAAGCGCTTCCTAAGAGTGTTGCGCAAGACTGGGCCACGTCCACAGCGGTGAAAATCTCCATGGAGAATGAATGACTGAATGCAGTGGGGGATGAGGCAGCTTCCTACCTGTAGACTTACTTTTGATGGCAGTTTGCAAGTACAAACAATTCTGCAGGTGGAAATCGGTACAGCCAGGCCCAATCCAATAATTGCTTTGGCGATTTCTGAACTTGCAAACTTAAATTAGTAACGAAGTGACTCCCAAAGCCCTTATCCTCCAGATGAAAGGCATCTTCTGGGGTAAAAGTCCGAGACACAGAAGAAGAATCAAAACTTCCGACTGCGTGTGAGTGACGAAGGTGACACATCCGGTGACATTAGCAAGAGAAGTACACAATCCAATCTTAAAAGCAGATTGACCCTGACCTCTGTTCGCTGCGTTTTCTTTACCTTGCCGTGATTCACTAGGTACTTTTGTGACCATATGGAGGCATGTCTCGGTCAAATAGATCGATCGGACTTCGCGAATGCAGAACGGGTTTCTTGACTTATAAATCTTTAATGTATGGGAGGAGAATTGAATCTCTGACCGCGTACAGTATAAATCTAATGCACAGAGCCCATTCTTTATGAAGTGGTTAAACCATAAGGCGATGCAGCCCATGCACAGCGTCAACTTAAAGACGAAGACTTAGAAACAGTCTTGAATGGAATTTCATGAGCACAAATCTGTTTGAAGGGTAAAAGGATGACAGTCATTTTACGCAACGCTGTTGACAGTGAGAATTACTCGATCATCAATATCCACATAATTTCCAAACGTGGAAGAAATAATGAGCACACTCTTGAGTAACTGTATTTCCCAAATGCAAACAAAATTCCGTGGCAACCAGCCCCGATGCTAGATGTCCCAGCCTTGGGCGAATTCGATATACTAACGAGACAATTCTACTGCTGCCGTGTGAACCTTCATACACAAAGACTCGCAACTTTCTCGTGCCACTTCCGAGTGATTTCTCCCAAAAGTACCTCATGACCCACTCTTTAACAAGACAGAAAAAATCCTCGGCATCCTTTTCGTTTCCGGATCTTCGAACCAGCCTCAGTCACGCATGCGCTAGAGGATGACAGCGGCATTCGACAGGGAGACAAGGCCTGAGTGTCAGAATGCTCACAGCTCCTCGAAACCGCGTTCTACTTTTCAGTCCACCGACCCATATATGAACTTGGTTGCCTGGAAACGTGGTAACAGTGCGTGCCAGCCACGCAGTTACGATGTAACTTCGTTGCGATGGCCACTTTCTGACTTCCTCAATGTAGACACTGTACAGAAGGGTAAAGGCGGATTTTATGCGCTGGGGGGTAAGGCTTGAGTGGCTACCAACTTGATCTCTTGTCTTCTCTGTTCCTCTGCAGATGCAAAATGCCCAGCGAGGGAATTTGCTAGCGCTGGTCCTACTCGGAGAGTTGCTAGCGCACTCTCCGAATACGGGAAGGAAAAAGGTTCAGAGCTTCTTCTGCAGTGAGCTGCAAACACTCTTACAAACAAGTACAAGCCTGTCTCTGTAACTTTTGGGGGCAGAAATTTGTCTAATGAAGATTGACTTCTACTGCGAAAGCAGTTCAGCTAAATGTCCTTCAAGTGTTGCTCTCCGCTTCACTGCAAATGATTACACTGCTTGCTCTAGCAGTTCGAAAGTAACGCAATGGACGAACGTAGCTAAAGATGCTTGATAGCGAGAGCTGTGAGGAGACTTGGCAGGGGAAGGAAAATATCGCTAGAACTGATTTAGGAAAGACAGATATTGCTGCACATACTCTGGCTGGGTTGGAATTATGTGCCCTGACTGGTGTCGTATGGTGACTCTTTTCTCTCGCCTGAATAAGGATGCAAGCTGCTCACTTTCGCGTACGCTGATTTGTCGATCACTACCTTCACAGCCTCCAAAAACATGAAGTGACGGAACATCTATTGCTCCCTCATTCGATAAGGACATTGATTCAAAATGCTCGGCAGCTGGTGAAATGAACCCTGAACATATTATCACGAACCGGAACTTTACAGCTCCACTGTTGTGCTCGGACCTACTAACGCGGGAGAGGCAAAGGGCTGCAGCGATGGCAGCCCCTTGAGAAAATCCCAGAACACCATCAAATGGACCTTGTTCTCTGAACACCGTCTGGAGGTACTTCCATGATCTTGACCATCCTAAAATTTGTGTCTGGTGTTGAGAAGGCCGTGCTTCACTCGAAATTTCGGTTTCGATCCTTCCTGATGGAATCTCTTTCAAGTCCACTCTAGTATGTTGAACAAGACCTTCAGGCAAGCACTGCTTCATAGAAAACGCATCAGGTGCACCAGTGCTTGATTGTGTTTGAAAGTGAGTCATTCCAGAAGCCTCCATCGTCCCATCACTCGAGATCAGAAAATCATTAAAAGCGGTTTCTGGACTGAAGAGCCAAGCAAACTTCTTTGAAACTCCGACAGAAGATGTGGAACTGGGGACTCCTTTGGCACCCGAGCATTCTCCTGAGCACCATCCTTCTAGCGAATTCTCACTATGACAGTCCGGTTGATGCGGCACCTGATGCTGCTGAGAGGAAAAAGGCACTTCATGTGGTGCATCGATGTACACGAATTCCACCTTGTGCCTCAGTTTCTTTCTCAATGCATTTAGTCTACCCTTCAATTTGCTAGCATTTTGTCGAAAACCGTGAAGGCATAGAATCCTCAGCTTCCTTTGTTGCTGATCTCCATCTGAAGAACAATGATCAACATAGCATATGAGTACTGTGTATGTCAATACCAACGTCTTCTCAAAATCAAAAAAATCAAGAGCCAGAGTTAGTAGATCAAATTGTCACCACAGATAGTCAGTTTGTATGTGACAATCCTTCTCTGTTCCGAACCTTTGTTCTCAGGTATTGGAGGCTTAGATTCAGAGTTGTCAGTGAATTTTTCACACTGTAGAGATCCTTGAAATCCAACCTGTGTGCTCGGCTTCAGGCTCTTGCCAGTCTTGTTACAAACCTCGCAGATGAATAGTGAGCTAGACTGTTGTGAGACAACCTGAAAACAAACAAATCGTGAACTCATCAGGTTGTATCTTATCGCATGACATGATACCTATGACTTCAGAGTTTGACATCTCAAGAGCGAACACACCTAAGCTGCAAGTTGTCATTTCAGATCTCACAACAGTTTTCTTGGTAAATTAGCGGTCTGGTGCTCAATTCTACATGTAGGCTGTGTGAGGCAAGGGATTGCGGCAGCATCTTAACTCCGATACCGTAACTAAGGAATGTAGACAAATCGCATGAGAAAGACTCATGAGCGCAACATACCTGACAATCACTGCAAACCAAAACGAGCATTCGACATAGTGAGCACCGGCAACGCGCAGAATAATCATCATAAGGAGTGTTGCATTGCAAACACCTCCCCAACACGACTTTATTTAAACTTGGAACAGCTAATCTGCATGCTCCCCAAAAAAAAAAGACCATGAGAGTTCAGTAAATACAACATATTGATACCAATACATCTAATCATAAAAAAGAACATGAAACTCGTCTCGCTATGAAGAGCAGGTCAAGATTTTGCATTCAGGGACGGCACTGACAATACCTGTGATCAAAAACAAAGTTCTTGCCTACAAAGTAACCACCGTCCGGAAAGGCTTCCATATATCGCTGGATTCCCCCTGAAAGCTACAAATGTAAGGCAAGTAACAAGGCTTACGTCAGCCACTCGAGATCAGCAACTCAATCTCTCGATTGACCTCATCAGGTATCAAGGTTATAATTATCAGGCCCACCCAAGCAGATCACGCCATACATTTTGAGTAGTACCTGCACCACATCTTCAAATTCTTTACCCTTGCTACGAATGTATGCTGATGCCATCTCACAACGAACACCACCAGTACAATACCTGCACTCTAAAAAACAAAATTCACATGTCACACAACATACACACAACAGCGCCAAACAAACCTCCAACCGAAGAAGATAGAAAAGGAAAGGTAAAGTTTGATCCACTTACATGAGTATCTGTTTGTTTCGCAAGCGGTCTTCATTGTCATCAATCCAACCAGGTAGATCACTATACTGACGAACCATGGGATCCATCACTTCTACTCCTTCCCCGGCAGAAAATTTACCAATCCTTGTCTCATAGACATTTCTCGCGTCCACAACTATGGTCTGCTTGAGAGAAGTGTCACTTCCCTCCTGAGCTTCACCTAGTGCCCTTTCTGTACAAAGCAAAATCAAAACCATAATTCTCATCAGAACGACAGGAAATCGCATAACTGAACTACCACTTGTACTATCAAGGACTAGATTGCGAGATAGTGATTGACAAAAAAATTGGAGCACCTTGGAGAATTTTATGAAACTCCTGGGCAGTGGCATGTCTTCCAGCATTGGACACCGAGGGAGGTTGTACAGAGGGATGGAGACCAAGGGTCACAAGCTCCTGACACCACAAAGGTCAGTGTTATGCTCTAGACAGGAGATTAGACACACTCTCGACCATTAAGTATCTCTCATTTCACCAAGAAGCGCGCATGCAACGTATGTACTCACTAGATCACAGTTAGTGAGTATCATTTGAACACTCAAAATACCTTGGAAAATCTGGCTGACAGTTCACCATACCTTGACAGCTCGTGCGGACAGAGAAGTGAATCCACATTCGGCAGCAGCTTTAGGATTCGCAGGAGGGGAGCACGATGCGATCTTGAAGTCGGTGCCCGTAAACAAGGGATTGGAGCTCACGACTCTGATGTGTTCTTGTAGTGCTGTCAATTTCCCTCCAACCTTCAGAGAGTGTAAATTACAATTCAATTTTTCTAACCATTTGAATACCGGCAAGAGACGAAGATCATAAAACTCCAAGTCACAAAACTTCTAGCGGAACCCCCAATCCTCAACCACTAGTAATGCAAGTACAGCTCTTTAGCATAGAAAACGGCGGAAAAAGTTTCTAAAAGCCTCATATGAGCACCTGGTCATGCATCACACCAATAAACATAAAGCTAGAGATTCTGACACGTGAAGAAGTTGAAGACAAGACAAAACATCGTACCGTGATATTTATCCCATCCGGGGCTACTCGAATTCGACCCAACAGTCCTAAGGAAGAACAAAGATCAAAAAGCCAGGTCTTCATTCCATCGGGGTCATCAATTTGGGCAAATTTGTAATACAGAAGCACCCCATCCTCAGCCACATCGCCTTCCTTGTCAGAAACCGTATCATCGAGAGACAATTGCGCAAATTCCGCGCTCGCCATCACATCCGTGGCCACGATGAACTCCCCGCTTCACAAAACCAAGAGAGAAATTCCAACCCCTATCTCTTCAGTGCAGAAAGTCATGTCCAGTCCTGCCTTTCCCCCAATTCACCGTTGCCTCCACCGCACACACTCCAACGAAGAATTTTGCGACTCGCTCATAAACTCGTCGAATCAATTGTTCAAACCCCGAAATATTCCTCGAGCTTTCGATCTTTCAGTTGAAGCAAAGAAGCACCTCCACATTCCATGAAGAGGAACGAGGGCAAGGGGAACCAAAAACCTCAGAAACCCTCGACCAACAATAGCAAACGCTGTTGCGAATGGCGACAAAAGGGAGGCGCTTAAATGAAGGAGATCTCGCGTTCGCGATCTATATTGCGAATCTTATGTGACTCCAGAGAGCGGGAACGGAATTCGAGACTGGCTTCTACATTCTCTCTCGTGAGAAGGTCCCTGGCCATGAGATCGCTCCAGTTTGTGCTGAATTCTGGACTGCCCAGAATTTAGAAGAGCTTGAATGTCAGCAGGCAGGTGTGGCTAATTTTCACGGAGGGCCTTGAAATCTCACAATTGGGAAGGTATCGTGCAGCTCGACTGAAGAGACGGGAACGAGTCCAGGGTGAAAAGCCTTTGCCGAATTGGAATCTTCTTCTTCTTCGGTTGCTCTGTTGGGACCACGTGCATCAGCTCCGAGATCTGCATGCTGCTCATTCATGGACTCAAAATCCCATTTCGAATCGGTGTGCTCCGAGCCTCTCTGTTTTCTTCGAGACTGGTGGGCGTTTGTTGTTGCTTCTGTAGGGCCTGGCTTTGAGGTTGCTGACATGTGGTTACTGGATACAGGCTGTTGTCTACGAGATTTTCAAGAAGGTGTGGGCACGGTCTTCTGAAGGTGTGTGAGCACTTATTTTCATGATGCTGTTAAAAGCCTTAAAAGTGCGATCGAATTTCAATGCATTTCGGTCATAGAGCTCAGATGCTGTTGTTGATCCCCATCAGGTTAAGAAATGCACCAGACACTTTTTCAGCTAAAAGTCAAGTCTTGGAAACTCTGCGAACGTTTGCAAATATACCAACTGCTACTTTGGATCGTTTTCACACACGCAGGAACAGACATCATACCAAAGGAAGAGACAGAGGATACAGAAAACGTGGAGGTATGTATCCCTTACTAAGTAATCTTCTCTTCTTCGTTGCTAGTTGAGAATTCTGGGTTATCTCCGTCCAGTTCAGTTGATTTCTCTCGTCTGCACGAAAATGATTGAAAGAGGTGTCGAAAGACTTTCATTTGACTTCGGGCCTTGTTGTCTACAGGATGACTCTCTAGTTATATTAGGGGCCAATGCAGCAGCTGGGCCATCAAGAAAGCCTCGCTCAACTACAGGTATGAACGCACGTTCCACAAAACAATCACCAAAACGTCAAGCTCTTGTTCCGAGCTTCTCTGCGCATAGAAAGTTCTGTGATTCGGAAAATCAAGCTGATCAGAACTGTCGTTTAAAACTGAACACTTTTCTCGACTGCTTCACGCAGCAAATGCAAACGCGTTGAAGCTGACATGTGAGCTGCTTAAACTCTTCGTGTCGGGTATGTAACTTCTTCCTTTCTGGACTCATTCTACTCAGAAGGTGTTAACAGGACAGTACCTTCTTTGGTTCGCCCTGAACTTCCACTTCCTCATTACATCGTTCTACAAGTTACAACTCGGTAGAATATCAACTGAAACGTAATATATGGTCATATTTTTGTTATTGTTTTTTAGACCATATTGACAGGATTATTATGGTACCTGTAAGAAGTTTGATGTAAAAAAGGTGACAGCTTTGTCTTTGAAATCTGAATCCGCAGATAACCAATCTAGGTGATAAGGAATATCATGTACAGAGAGACCTTCACAGCTTTGTGCTCACGCCACTAGGAATTTAGGTGATAAGGAATATCATGTACAGAGAGACCTTCACAGCTTTGTGCTCACGCCACTAGGAATTGTTGCACATTCAGAAACCGTCCAACGAGCGGCGATGGTAGCGGAAGCAGAAGGGTCAACTGAAATCGATGGCAGTCATCTGGAGAGAATCCTTCCCCAGTTGCTCCTCGACTTTTGACAGATCTTTTCCTTATCATGTCCTGTGCAATTGGACTATGTAGATGTACCTCAAGATCATTACAAACAGGACTTTAAAGATTTCGTCATTTACATAAAGTGAACCGTACTGACATCCAGAAATCTTCGCCAGGTCGGCTGCTATGGCTGAAAAGTGTCCCGACTCACGCTCAGCAGTACAATACACAAAAAAACAGAATTCTTGTTGCAACTTTTTCTCAGAATTTTCTATCGTTATGGAACACGTGACCGTGGCAACCACCTTAAATTTCCATCTAGTCGAGTATGATCCCTGGAGCGAATGATGACAATCCAGCAAACAGCTAGGCACTACTGCCTAGAAAAGCGATTAACAAATCGAAAGCAAGCTCACAGAGCCGCAGCTCAAATTCGTTTACCAGCACACTGAAATGCAGTGGACGGTTGAGAACGGATGCTCCCTGCAAAAGGGAGCGCGCCGTGTAGTTCATACTTCCCTGACTGCGCCCAGAGTTTGTCAGATTCATCTTGCTGAGCAATTGCTCCATCTGAAAGCGAAATTAAACCATTTCTCTCATAGTCGGTGCAATGTCGTACATGTCCCGGGTCGTCGGACTGGCGAATGAGCGACTTTTTACAACCCAGTCGCCTTACTTGTCATCTGTTCCCGAAAGTACAGCGAAGTGAACCTGAGCTCTTGACTAAACGACAGTGGCGCCGTGTAAGATGTCTTGGATGTATGAGTAGATGCCCAGAGGTAGATCGTATAAGAGTTTATAAAGACCCACATTTCGACCCAGATGCGGTGTAGAAGTGGCAGAGCCGAAGCGGATTATAAGCAACCAAGCAGAACTATCTGGAAATGTGTAGGTTGACGAAGTTGTTATTCTCCTTATGACATCCTCGTCCATGATCCGCAGCTTGCTGTCTCACCATGCCCTTTTCCTGCAACAACGAACTATAATTTGAAATTCCATCTCCTTGCCATCCATCGACCTTTCTTCTCACCATCCAGTGCCCAACAGATGGAAAAAAACAAGATTTCTTTCTGGGGGCTGACCAAGTGAATGTAACTATGCGTGGGAACAGACAACAAGGTGCTTGACCCATCATCGGAGTATGAGAAAGAACGTGGCGTATCATAATTCGGATATTGCTGCAGATATCAGGTGGACTATTTCTCACTCGCCAGAAGCAACTAAGCAGCTGCAGCTGACAGGTATGACAGCGTCTCTGCAGACGGCGTGTATCCTCTTGAAGACATCTCCCTCGTCATATCTTTCGCTCTGCTTAAGGATCCCTTCTTCACAAACAGCTGTATGAGCGTGTTGTAAAAATCAGGAGTTGGAATGTATCCTGCATTTTTCAAGTCTTTGTACACCTTCATAGCTCTGTTCAAGTCTTCGAGCTTTGCACACACGTCCAGCATCACCTCATACGCCATAAGATCTGGTTCACATCCGACTTCTTCCATCTCCCAAATCAGAGCTACAGCTTCTCTGTACCTACCTTCTCTACTCAGAACCGAGAGGAGAGTGGTGTACATCACGATGTTGGGTTCCAAGCCAGAATCAAGAAAGTCCTGATAGAGTCTGTCAATAATTTCGTAGAGGCCCAATTTACTACAAGAAGCCATAAGGGAAGTATAGTCCTGTAGCTTGAAGTTCAAATTCGACAAGTTTACATTCTGCCACAACCTCGTGACGAGGTTTCTCGACCCCGTTCTACAAGCCCACTCTGTGATCGTCCTGTACACAGAAGCGTCAACTTTCCTACCCGAGTCCAGCAGATTCTTCGCTACTTCCATGGCTTCCTCCAAACGGCCACACTTAGCCAATGCAGATGCAAGAGTCTGAGCTGCTCTGATCGAGTCCTGCCCCACACCTCTATGTAGCTGCATAGCAACTCCGATTTCTCCAGCTTCGACCATTACGTGAATAGCTGCACACAATGTAATCTCATCTGGCCACAAATGCGGCTGCCGTTGCAGCCACAGAAATATTGGAAGTACCTTCTCCGTCAGCTGCATTCGCCCCAAATCTTTCACGGTTCTCGACAGAGCACCCTTCTGCAGCTTCCAGGCCCACTTGTCCATGAGCTCCGACAAGGGCTCATCATCGGGCTGAGACCTGATCTCCGAAGCCAAATCTTTCAGAAAATCGAACGACTGTACGCGGTCTCTAGTCGACACGGCAATCCGGACCTTTCTGCGAAGTGAGGGTTTTGGAAGCCTCAGGGGTCGTAACTTGTGAGGCGAAGGCAGAGGAAGAGGTCGCAGAAATCTCTCGTCCACAGGCTTCTCGTCTGAAATGTAAGGGTGCAGTATCAGCAGAGGCGGCCCGTTAGACTCGATGGGAAGCTTACCGATTTTCTCCCCGCCACTTCGCAACTCATCGGACTCCTCAAAAGCGTCGTCCTCCTCTTCTGCAATCCCCGCCTCTCTCCGTTCTCTCTCTTTCTGCCTGTCCCTCGAGATTTTACGAATGTACGGCAAATCTCTCCTCCCCCGCCTGTCAGGCCGACCGCTGCCATAGCAAACGACGTCCCTCTCCCTCAAGCCTAGAACAAACTTCTTGAAATCCACCGACGCTTCTCCACTGAATTCCGAGACCGACCGAATTCTCTTCGTAGAGGAAGAAACGGACGTGCTTAAACAGAGGCCCAAATTCCTCCCGAGAGCATCCATTGCGCCTTCCTCAGCTCGAGCCAAAATTTTCACTAATCATCACGCCACGCGCTTAGAAGACGCTCGATTATCACGAACAGGCTCAGAGTCCTCGAACATCGACATCGAGAAAATCGAATGGAACAGAACGCTCGAGGAGCGATTTTGCGCTTCTGCGGCCTAGAGTTCGTGGTCCGTGTATCTGTCTCTGTCTCGGTCTCGCTCCCAACAGTGCGTCGCGACCGGATCAGTCGCGACGGTCGCGAGATCCGTCGCCGTCTCGGGACGGAACAGCATCAACAACCCTACGCGGACTTCATGGACCTGACTCTCGGGCGTCGCTCAGAGTCTCCGAGGCAGCGATTTCTTTGCATGGCGATCTTCTTGGATTGAATCCCTTCCTTCCTTCCTTCCATGGCCGATCCCGAGTCCCGACAGCTCGGACAGGTGACAACCGTGCGCAAGACTGTCCGGATTGCGACACCACCTCCTTCGCCACACGAGTACCGCATCTGTTTCGACGCTCGAGGTCGTTCGCATCCAGTTTCATGTACACAGAAAATCCGAGCCACCAAAATCTCGTGTACAGGGCGGTATCGTGCACTGCACTAATGTGGGTGCCCCTTCAATCCCTCTTTCTCTCCCACCGAGAAGGAGGAGGACAAAATCCTCCGTCGCCGTTCTCACGGTAAATATCTTCCGTCGTGCATATTGGGTGCATAAATGCCTGAGGGCCTCGAGCGCGTGTCCCCGATGCAATACAATTCATGTGAACTCCATTTGTACACATCTAGGTATTTGCAAAGCTCCCGTCCAGCAAATCGCTTCTGGCTTGAACACGATCATCGTCGCCACCAATGAAGAGGTGGAGAAATGGTTTTCCAAAGATACCTCCTCGAGGAATTATCGACTTTTCCCTTCGTACACATATTTGAGGGCGTAATTGGCGAGTTTGTTTTTCATTTCATCCACTAACTTGGTTTCTCAAACTTAAGTTTTCATTCATCTGGCCGAAATATTCTCGAGACTGGAGTTGAAAACTTGTCGAGTCTTATCGTGAGGGTTTCACGCCCATATCTGCCGGATCATTTTGGACCCATAAGTCCAAAATGGCTCGAGGGCTCATTCTGAGAAGGAACGTTCCAGTAAAGTGACTGCAGAACAATTGGTTGTAATGTGATTGTTTTAAGATTTTAAATTATCTAATAAAGAATTCAAGCTATCTGCATCAGAATGGATGAGGTCTACGAAGGGAGGAAACGACGGACGAGAATAGTTCCTGACACGAAGACATGGAAGCGATAATTGAAGAAAATTCATCTTTGGTGCGCATAGTACACTAGGTCGTAAGAAAGTACTCCGATAGACCTGCAACTATATATGGGGGCCAATTATTTTGTGGACAATTCCGACTTTTGATTGATTACATACCTCCTTAAGATACCCTATGACTCAGTTTGCGTGAAAGCCCTTTGGAACGTGGAGAAGAAGAAAGAGATATGGGACCCCGCTCAGGCATCGAAACCTCCGGATAAAACAATATCCTTAAACTTCCTCCTTAATCAATGATATATATATATATATAAATATAAATAAAATATATATGCTTGCGTTTTTTTGATAAATAGGATTCAAGATAAAGCTATATACCACTGATCAGTTGTGAATGAAATTCAAATAGCTATATTATTCTCACTATACAAAATTACTTCTAGAACCTTATCAAAATTAAAATTAATGATGATTATTAATTATTAATTAAAATCAAAATAATGATACCTTGCGAGAGAATACATTGTAAAAGGGATCATTAAAAAAGGAGACCAACTGCGGAAAGAATTGTTATTACAGCATCAATCATAAAGTAAATACAATAATCATATGCGCATAACTGCAAGAGTCTTAGGGGAATTGGCCCATCAGAAGGAAGCCGTGGGGCGGAGGTTTTCTATTTATCGAGAAGAGGACAGTCCCTCCAGAACATTTACCGCCAAAGAAGAGCTGAGATTATTCCGCTCGTTACAACCTGACACGATACGGGACGGGAGCATCTCGACCCTTCCTCCTCCAATCTGGCATATATATTAATAATTTACTATAATACAACGAAAGTCGATCCGAGAGAATTCCATGGGAGCTGCAGCGCGGAGTCTCAACACCGACAGGCCAGCCGCAAAGGCGAGTAAGTACGAGGCCCGAAGAAGTTAAGCGACGGGAATTAGACCGACAGAAGTGGCAGCATCCGTGCTGAGATCGAGAACATGGGGGTCTAATTAGAGTCTAATTAGGGGTCAGCACGGCCACGATGGAAGCTGGCTCCGTCCCGCTTAAGGCGGAGAGGCGTCTCCCCGGCCAGTACGACAGAGCTACTGTGCCGTCCTAGACTACCGAGCTCAGACGTCAAGTCCGCGCGGCACCTCGACGGACGCTAACCCGCTCCGCGTTTACGTCAGTGCCGCGCGACCAGAACGGCAGGTCGCCGTGGAAACAAGCGTTCGCCGCAACCCTTCGTAGCGCACCCCGCACACTCAGACGAGGGGCTTTGACTTTGTCCACCCGAATCGGCACCAAATTCGGTTTGACTTGCAACACTGCCCCACACATGCGACGACGTCGTAGCTTTGCGGCTGGAAAACGACTTTCGTCCGATCGCAGAAAGCGGCAGGAGGCAGTGAGCTCGGGGATGGATGGAAACACGGGAACAGGGACCGTGGAGGAATGAATGAAGCGAAGGGCTACGGTACGACGGAGAGTCTGCGTACTGTAAAATTAGCTCTAATCGAGTAATTAATGAGAACAAATCTACGGACCGGTACAGAAAATCTTTTGGCGCAAGGACGACTCGGAGAGGGAGGAGCGGATCAGTAACGCTAAGCTTCCGCGGATTACGCCCGCTTCTGGACCTCCGGGGTACAGATAAGGAGCAGGGACCGCGAGCGCGAGGTTCAGGTACAGGTCAGGCCCAGCGTGCCCCGCGGTCGGAAACGGAGCGACCAGAGGGCGCAGTCAGTCGCCCCGGTACGAACTCCCCGAGTCCTTCTGTCTGTCCTCACGGACGTCCGGACTTCTCGCTCCCTCCTACCCTCCCACGAACGAATCAGATCCCCCAATGCGTACTCTGCGACTCGACCGCCCGACGACCGTATTGGTCGATTGGTGCGAGAATTGGTGCGACGCGACGGCACTCGATCGCGCCGTCTCGAGTCGCAGGCCGTGGAACAGATGGCCGCACGAGAGGGGAGAGAGTGGAGCGCGAGCGCGAGGTTGGTACTGGAGGAGCGAGTACACGTCCCGCGGAGGGAGGAAAAACGGGATCGGTCAATCAGCGCGGAGGGCAGGGGGCAGGGGGCAGATGGTCGAGGAGGACGAGGACGAGGCATCGGGTGATGGGAAGAAGGATGGTTACTCGGATCCATGGCCGATCGGTCGTCGTCGTAAATCGATGAGTCGGTCGATTTGATCTACCGCTCACTCTCTCACTCTCTCTCTCTCTCTCTCCCCCCTGCTCTCGCAAAGACGGCAGCGGCAGCAGCAGGAGAAGCAGAAGGGGAAGTAGCAGAAGCGCCCCCCGCGGCGTGAGCTGGGGCTCGAGGATGCCAATGATGATGACAATCCTTTGACAACCGGGTCTCGGGGTGCCGCTACAGGCAGAGAGAGGGACGGACGAGCGTCGGAAGCGCAAGCCTCTGCCAGGGCCAGGGGCGTCACGTGCTCCGGCGTTGACCCGGCCCGCAGGCCGATCGGCAGCTCGCTCACTGCCTCCCCTCCCAATCCCTTCGCAATCCCTTCGATCTCTTCTTCTTCCTCTCCCTCCGCGACCTCCCCCCATCGACTGCGACGCTGGAACGCTGCGGGATCCGCTGCCCATCCGAAGGGCTCGTGGCGCTTTCCGCCGCGCCTTCAGCGTCGGATGTGATCCAGAGGCGCGGCCCGGCCAACAGTTAGTAAATTAATTGAAATTTTGAAAAAGCGCTCCCGGTGGAGGTTGACGAGGCTCGAAGGCCGGACGGACGGGCGCTCATTGACTGCAGAGGCCCAGGCAGTCGAGCCCCCGTCTCGAGTTGGTTGTGCGCGACGGGACGGGACGGGCCCAAGGTCGAGGAAGTTGAAGGCCAGAGGAACGGGGTTTCTTCCAGGCCTCGAGGATTCGGATCTTGTTTGCAGGGAAGCCGAGGAGGAGGCTGGTGCGGGGCCGGGCGATTTAGCGATTGAGCGAGCGAGCGAGCCACCGATCGACGGAAGCGAGACGGCTTGTAGGTCGAGCTGTGCGTTGTTGTTTTGTGTTGTCTGCTCCTGCTGAACCAGCGGTGGGTGGAATTTCTCGAGAAGAATTAGGATGTCAGAGCGAAAGGATCGCGCTTGAACTCCGGAGACCTTGCTCTGCTCGCATCAGTTTAGTTTTAGACGGGGAAGCGGTGTCTGGAAGCACTGGGCCCCAGGACGACGGGGATAAGGTTGTGGCGTTCGAGACTGCTTTGTTACTTGTTGGGGAAGAGAGACTCCTTGTTCTGTGCCTCGTTCGCTTCTGAAAATGGCGTCTGGAGTTCGAGGACAGAGGGCTTTCTCTTCGAGAGCCCGATCGCTGATTACTTTGGTGATGATGTTTTCGGCCGCGTTGTTGGTATTCTTGATCTTCGTGATTATCGGAGTTCCTGCCGCCCTGAACAATCCAGTCAGCCAGAGCAGCGGGGCTACCATAGCCTTGAAGATTCCTCAAATCACTCGAGGACAAAAGTAATCTTCCTCCTCCCATCCATGTTCGTTTAAGGATGTTCACGTGTTCAGACCACTTGATCCTGTCACACGTAGTAATGGTTGAAGTGGAAGACCTCGTCACGGGAAGTAGGTGCCTCGTAATTTTCGACGAAGCCCGCACGGCACTGGGTATAGTAAATGACGAAGAGTGTACGGATGTGCTAACTTTGGTGGTACATGTATCGGGCTCCTCTGAAAAGCTGAGAGTGAATTTTCAGATGTTTGATTGTGGTGGATTATGGTTGATTGTGAAACGTGTAGTCTAGTTGCAGCCTGGAATGTGCGGAATGATGTCTTCGGGAAGTTCAGTTTACTGTCCCATTGGTCGTTCACTTGGACACCCCCATAAGTTGGTAATAACTTTCTGTAAATTCGTCGCAACCTGGACATGCACAGATACTAATTTTACTAACTATTAGTGTCATCCTTTGGGCTTTAGTTCTTGTCGACCTTCTTACAGACTTCTGACCGTAATCTTGTCAACTTGTTTGGCGAAAGCTGACTCTTCATCATGAATTGCTTTCAGCTACTATTTTTCCGTGGTCTCAGAACCTGGGATATTACAATGTTCGAATGGAAGTGTGATGTTTTCGTTTTACATATATGCAGGAGAGAAGGAGACGCAGCGGTCCAGCCTTATGTTGAAGTTTTGTCATGGGAACCTCGTGCGTTTCTTTATTACAACATGCTGGTATGAATTTTAATCATCTGTACCTGTGACTGGACGTCCATGAGCCGTGCTGGTTTTAATCTCCCGAAGCATTTAAGCTTGCAGAGTCCATTAATTGAAGTATTTTAGTGTATTCGTATGTTAATCTTTCTCTTGCTTTTGCGTCAATTTACGGTTATAGTGTTTTCTTCTCTTTCGTGTTCCGTTGAATTCTTTTTTATAAACCTTACGGAGTCCGATGACCCAGTTTCTTACATGCTGTAGTAGTTCATGCATGGACTTCGAGGTAGACTTGCTGCGCGGAGTACTTGCTGTCGATCACTTCCGTGTTGCCTTCACATAAGTAACTAATTATCCAAACTCGTGCAGACTGATGCAGAATGTGAGCATCTAATCAACCTTGCCAAACCTAACATGCAAAAGTCCACTGTCGTTGACAGTGCCACAGGACGAAGTAAAGATAGTAGGTACGTAGCTCAAATCTTATTTGACACAATGTGCCTAATTTTATGGCTTACTCTCTGCTTGGATATACATCTATAAACGTCTTCACAAAAAGCTGATGAGAACTTTGTTCGTTGACAAGCAGAGTTCGAACAAGTTCAGGAACTTTTCTCAATCGAGGACAAGACCCAATCATCTCAGGAATTGAGAAGAAAATTGCTGAGTTCACTTTTATTCCTGTTGGTACGTATTGTCCCCTTCGTAACCTGATCCAATCATCTGAATAGTCGTTTGTTTTGTACTAGGTTGTACGTTAGTGTTCTCATCAATTTCTCTACCAATTATCATCTGCTTGTTCTTTCTCTATTATTTTGATAGCTCTATTGGAGTTGTATTATGATGTAATGCGGTCATTCGGTGTTCCTGTAGAACACGGAGAAGGATTACAAGTTCTTCATTATGAAGTTGGGCAAAAGTACGAGCCACACTACGATTATTTTCATGATTCGTTCAACACCAAGAATGGCGGGCAGCGAATTGCAACTGTTTTGATGTATTTGTAAGTAACCGACGGACTAGCAATGATCCAATCGCCATGCCCTACTGATCCAATCGCCATGCCCTACATTGGGCGTTTTGGTTGGGTCAGTTGGGAGCAAGATGTGTGAATCTCTTACCGTTTTTCATTGATTCTCAATGTTACAAAGTAGATGAATGGAGTCATCGAATTTGACTGTGAGTATACATGTACGTTAGAACTTGGTATGTACTTGACAGGAAGTTGGATGCAATCTGGGGCATCTGAACGAGGATTCGCTGTTATCTGCTGTTTCTTTTGGAGCAGGTCAGATGTGGAGTCTGGAGGTGAAACGGTGTTTCCTGCATCCAAGGTGAATGGCTCTCTCGTTCCCCACTGGGATGAGTTATCGGATTGTGCCAAAACAGGTCTGTCCGTGCGTCCAAGGAAAGGAATGGCTCTGTTGTTTTGGAGTATGTCCCCGGACGTTAAACTTGATTCTAAAAGTCTACATGGTAAGTAGAAATCCTCCTGTCCGGTATTGGTCTCTGCCGTCTATTGAATCTCCTCCGTGTAAAAGGCGCATCATCCTTTCTGTTGGGTTGGATGTGAAAATTTTAAATTTGAAGTCGAATTCACTACAAGTCTCCAATGATGGAATCCAAGTCGAATTCACGGATGCAGAATTATCTGTAGGTAAATAAGGAACACATTTATGTCCACATAGATTGCTCTAATAATCATAAGCGTGTTTTTTCAGGTGGTTGTCCAGTCATAGAAGGTAACAAGTGGTCAGCTACGAAGTGGTTGCATGTAAACAAGTACTCAGTACCCAGTTAAAAGTCGCTCTTCTCTCAGGTAATGTGCTGCCCATTCCTGGGTTTAAAATGTTGGAGGTTTAGTGTCTCTGTTACGGGCTTCTATGCTTGCAATGATGACTTTCATGGTGGAATATATCGAAGTACAACCTAATGGCACATCTATTCAATCACATGCACACTACTATATTGTCCATTTTAGGCCAGAGTCCACTATTTTTTGATATCTGATATGCGTCCTTTGATTTTCAGGTTTTTTCGAACCTATTGACATACTTAGGCTTATCCAAGCACTCCTGCTTCCAACTTTGGGATCACAAGCTGATGGAGTTAATGTCCAGCTGCGAATGCTCAAATGTATGCACAGCAGTAACTTTGAATTCACTCACTACAGGGATCTTAGTCTTTCCTGAACAGTGTCCAACTGGTAATTCTTTCGACAGTTGGAATCTTGTTCTGCCCAGCCAAGGAGGATCCCCATTCATACTTGGAGGACTTTTAGTTGAAAGAAAGTAACCTTTCGATAGTGCGAGGCCAAATAGCCTCTGCTGCCCAGGTACTTGGAAAGTGGAGCTCATGCTATTAGGAACATTCAGAATAATAGTCAAGTGTAAATAGGACGTACTTTGAGGACCTTGTCAAGGAGACATCGAGTTTACGAGATCAGAACAGCTGCCGACGATTATGAAAGCTGAGTACACCAGCGTAGGTTCCTGATATTGTCAGGTATATTTCGTCTTGCATCTGCTGGAACACATTATGCCCGGTATGTTCAGCCGATTGTAAGAACGTGCCACTTCAGCCGTGGCAATTTTTTTTGATCAAGTGATTATAGTCGAGAAGAGCGTTGAACAGGAGCTAGTCTTGATGACCACCACCAGTATATCGATATCGACTCTTAAGTCTACTGCCTACATTTAGATGAGTGTTATTGCACAACTCGACGAATTATCCATCTTTCAGCTATTAGTATGCAAGAGCCGGGCTCTTCTCTAGGTAGTCAAGAAAGGAATGACTCCTTACTTGATAAACAGGATGTATTAGGATAGATTGAAAACTATCATCTTAAAAAAGGTGACATCCGCATGCCCCGGAGAACATGCAAGTATGAGGATGGATAAATCTGGACGGAGGCCCATAATTAAAGGACGACTTTGAAACCCAACCTCACAATGGTTTGAAAGTACAGTCGTCTTTTCTGTTTGGATGGTCACTTTGGATACGTCGGTTCTTGCACCTCACCGTGGACTGTCTGATCTCGTTACGTTATATCGTTGACTTCCGATCTTCTTGAGCGCTAAGGAAGATTTAGAATGTGGTGTGTTTACGCCGAACACGGGTCTAAATCCTCCCTCCCAGGATTACTTTGAGAATATTGGAGGTTTACAGCGGTCTCGTTCTCTTCAATGAGGACCATGAGTTGCTGCTTCACAGATTTATCGGGAAAACGGTGTTGATTGGACTACACATACTGGACTATGTTTAGTGCAGATTCCTCCAAATTCAACATCAAATCTGGACCGCATGCGAAGTGGAATGTGCACTGGAAGAATTACAGCACTCGGAACGAACCTGCGAGCGGCCTATGCCTAAAGCATGGCACTACTTCCTTGACTTCAAAAGCTGTGAACAAACTCCGGACCTTGAAAAACGACTGTGGTGTACGGCCGTGTCCACGTTCCCCAAGCCTTTAGGACTAGACTGGCTTACGGAATCTCAGTGGGCCTGAATTATCAATGATATTGAATCCATGTTTAAGGCAGAAAGAACTGCGAGTTTGATGAAAGTAAAGCTTAGCTCGAAAGTCAGACCTACTTGTAACGAAGACAACGAAACTTCTTCATCTAGAAGACTGTGCGAGACCGCATTTGCAGCAGTACCTGAAAACTCACAGTGTGCTAGTTTTGCACAGTGGAAGGTGCGACGTCCATGAGCCACCGAACACCTTTTCGACCAAAGGCGAGCAACTCAAAGTCTGCCGCTGTTTGTTGACGATAACGAGCAGATTCGTTCTAGTTACTACCGTTCTCTCAAATGAAAAGTACCTGCTCAGTGACCCTCGCTCGCCTGCAGTGACTGTCAGTTCTGGGCATGAGAGGCTAATTCTAGGGTTTGAAGTACGACCTATAAAATCTCGATTGTTCACATCTGAGGAAATAGATTCTTGCGTTTAGGAATGAAAAGTAGGAGTGCATAGGAACTGAAAAGTATGAGATAGAGTTCTTCGATTTATCTTTTCTTTCAAGCATGGAAGAAGAATAGAAGAATCCTGGATATAGAAATCAATAATATCTTCTCAAAATTACAGTAGCTTATCAATGTACGGAATATTCAGAATTGAGACTCTAAAAAGAGATTTTTTGCGTTTAATTCTGAAAATCCTAAAGTTTTCCATAATTTTTTACTACCCCGGAACTCTCAAATTTCGGACGGAGATTTCAAATTTCAAATCTGTAAAACCAAATGGGAGGGATCCAGATTTGTGATAGTAAAACAGAATAGTACCGATTCAAAGTTTCCAGGTGCGTTCACAACTTTCTTGCTCTGGATACAAGCAAGGGAATCAGAAGTATTGATACGAACAACTTGTACTATGGTTAAGACTAAAACTTGACAACATGGGACTATTCTAAGCTGGAAAATTAACCCAGGGCTAAAGGCGGAATGTGTGAACGATAGGGTAGGAAGATATGCAAAAGATGCTACTCTTTGCCAGCCACAGGAAGGTTAGCGGAACTCCCGGCCAAACCCAAGCTAACCCGAGTTAACGCGAGGTAACGCGCCTTTATTTGTGGTCAATTATACTCAATTATGAGATTGCAGCTAAGCGAGCACATTAATTAGAACGATGGCAGAAGGCATGAAGAGGGCGCAAGAGCAGCAGCGCGCAGATTGAGTATCCGGATTGCCTGGCGCAGATTTAGCCCCGAAAGCTCCCAAGAATCGCAAAGAGCCAAAAGAGCCGATCTTCAGATTCGTCTCCCCTCTCGTCTCGTCTCCTCTCGTTGTTCGTCGGGCGAGCTGCGGTACCATACGTCGTCGTGCTTTGCTGTGCGGCCCGCTTCCGTCAATCCATCGTCGCTGCTGTCCGCGAGTCGGTGACACTTTCCACTTGGAAGAAGGAAAGAAAGAAAGAGAGAAGAAAGAGAGGAAGAGAGAAATCCTTGAATTGACAGAATGGAAGGGCTGGCGCTGCGCAATGTGTTGAGCCCCATGGGAAGCCCCGTGCGAGCGTTTCTACCTCAAAAGGTTTTCACTCGAGGTGCGCCTGCGGCATTTCCAGCCTTCAAAAGCAAAGCATGCGTCCTTCAGCTTCGTCGCTCACCGGCCTTGAAGGTTAGCGTCGTGCAGTTTTGTGCCCAGCGTATTAACGTCGGCTCGTGCGTACTCGAATGTCAAAGTTTGGGAGTTGATTTCGCTCGGTGATTCTGGATCTTCTATCCTCGTAGACCTGGAACTGGTTTTGGTTCATGCTTGATTGCTGTGAATTTATCATTTTTGGTTCAATCTATGCAGGTTCAGGCGAAGAAACAAACGTTTACCTCCTTCGATGATATGATCGCGAATTCTGATCTACCTGTCCTCGTAGACTTCTATGCCACCTGGTATGCATTTTTCTATGGTTTTCGTGTTGAGTGAAACCGGAATTTTTCTGGGAGCACTGGCCTGACATTGAAATGAGATTTTAGGAGCTGGGAAAGAGGGTGTCTACCGAATGCAGAGTGTGTCGTGTAGGGTCATCTGCTTGAAGTACCATAACTAGAACGTAAATATGAATGAGTCTCGGAAGTCAGTTTACAGTAACTCATTTTGATCTCCCTGAATGTCTTTACGAGACGCATCATGTTTTATCACGGAGAACAATTTGAACGGCAATCGTCAAGATTCTCACGGCAAGCTCTTTTTATGAGTTGATAGTTAGAATTAGATTCGTAATTAGAATTCTCATCTCTTCGTTCATCTTGTATTAGCGTCTCGTGAAATGGTAACCACGAGGTCAAGATTGCACTTTGGACTTGATCGTTCGGTCAGAATATGCAGATTTAAGTCAGTAGCTGTCAGCCTCGAAAATCGATCTGAAGGAAAGAATCTGCAGTTACTCTGCTTGCCAACTTACTTTCCGCATTTTTTCTGTGCAGGTGTGGACCATGTCAATTCATGGCCCCCATCTTGAGCGAAGTTGGCAAAGAAATGCAGGAAAAAATTCGCATTGTGAGTTCACTTTTGGAACCTATCTCTTTGTATGACTATCGCGTAAGCTATCCTGCAGTGCATTTAGCACTTTTCTGAAGACTATGCCTACGCAGTCTCTACGTTTGGTGTGTCTGCAGGATGTCCGTTTTATCCCTCCTACGCTAGATTCCGTCTTGCTCTCGGCCGATCTGATCTCTATCCCGGGCCTTGTAAGGTGTGTGAGAATTGAACACCCATGTTGTGGGAACGTAGACCTGATCAGTGCGGATGTGCTGCAGGTCAAGGTAGACACAGAGAAGTACCCTGCCATAGCCAGCCGTTATGGAATCCGCTCGCTCCCAACTTTCGTCATTTTTGTGGATGGACGACCTATAAATTGGAAGGTTTGAAATTTGAAATCCAACTCTCCATCTCCTCGCATTTCATTTTTGTTGCAATGTATTGTAACATTGACGTCTTACTTGATAGTGACCATTCCTGAAGTTTCGTCACCTCTCATACTCGGTTCTCGATACTGGTCACAGCTCCAAATTCCTCATCTTTTTAGGGTTCCTACAAAGTGTGTTGATGTTGTCTCCTGAACTTCTTACCGGCCCGAAGTTCCAACCTAATTTTAACCTTGAAGAGAGAATCTTCACACATCCCTCGAATGCAAGTCTGGAATTTATGTTGCTGGTTCCCTCCGTTTTGGTCGGGAGGGTCCAATTAGAGAACGAATTCTCATGAGTTGGAGAAAGCTACGAGTTAGTTCCAGTTCCTGCGAAAGCCGTAGCTTTCTTCTAGATTCGAGGCACAGAAGTGAGACTTGTAGATTTGTTTTTCGCATTCTGCGTGTCGAGGGTTGCCTAGTCACTTCGGATTTCCTGCATTCATGGCTTGTCGAGTGCTCTAACAAAATCTCACTACTTGGAGAACAGGAGGGATATCTGAACAAGGAGGACCTGATCGCCCACGTTGATAGCGTCCTCGTAGAAGAAGAATCGAGGACTCAAAGTGCGAGAGTAGATTAAACTGTAGTATGAGATTTATGGAGTGTGATTACTTCCATCATACGCATTTCCGAGGCATTAATCCAATGCAGCGAAAGCAGTACAGTAAGTAGCGAGTGCAGATCATTGTCATAGCACGTATTGTGCGAAAGTTGAGTGTAATATATATCATAAGTAGATGAGCACATAATTCTTGGCAGTTGAATTATTGCCATTCCTTCTGAGTCTTGAAGAAGTGAGACGAGTATCGTGATCGTCCTCGAGGTGGCAATGGTTGATGTGGGCGACATTTAGTTGCTATGTTACTTGAGTGTATGCTTCTTTTCTGAATGTTTGTGGTGGATGGATGAAGGGTCATTTTGACACGAGAAAGCATCTTTATCCCAGAGCAAGTATCCAGGTGGAAGCTTGAATTATAAGCATCCTCCCTTTCCATCCTACTTTCCCTTTACGGGTCTCGCTAGCATTCGATCCACTTGAAAGGACATTCGGTTCATGACAGGTGGAGTTTGCTGCACTCTGTCTAGATTCATTTTCAGTGGTGAAAGTAAGAATTATTGCCCCTGGGAAAGTAGTCGTAGCGGCTTCGTGACAATCTGTTGAGAAGTCATCAGCAAAACATGTGGAGATGTTACTCGTGTGGTAACACCTAAAACAGACCTGATTTTTGTTTTTTTCACCTAAAAGACCGACAAGGGAACTAGTCATTTAAGTTCGTTTCACAGAGAGAGCCGGCTAGACTTTTCGAATCTTAGCTGATGGAACTTAATCGCCACAGGATCAAGCATTTCACAACGAAGAAACGTTCTAGCGCGATTTTACTTAAAACTGTCGAGGAGATGTGCATAGAGCCTACAGCAAATCCGACCTATATGATCGATTGCTTATTTAAGGTCTCCTTAAAAACAGGAATGTCAGATGGACGGAATTTACTGTATAAATTATTCCTCATTGAGATGCAGTTTGGTTGCATCCATGTCCTTGAATACCCGTCGTGAAGACAGGTCCCCTTTTTGAATTTTAACGATGGCTACATAGTTCAATACTACTCACCGATGACTGGAGTCTCCACGGTCAGTGAAGAGGTAAGAAATGGATTCCTCAACTTCTTTAAGCACGTAGTGTAATCAAGCGTATTGAAGGAATCAATTTTCTAATTACTGATCAAAAGTACAAAACGTTACTTACACTCTCACACTCAATCCTTTCCGTCTGACAATTGCCACATGCACACTCTCACACTCAATCCCAAAAATCGGTGTCCTCTCTTTGAAAGTTTTGAACCTCCCCGTCTGATAACTGCCACATGCACATCGTTCGAACGATGTTTTAAACAGACAGAGTGCGCTGTGAAATTCTCATCTTGACGGTTATGGATAAGTATACTGATATTTGATTGCTACCTTCTGCGAGAACTCTTCTCGCAACAGCACATCTTGTCCTTGGACACATTGACAGATAATCCCCAAACCCTCTCCCAGCTAGTGAGGACTGCGGACCCGGACCCTGACCCGGCTGCATCCAACGCAGGAAAAGCAAGCGCTGCGAAACTCACGAAATTGAAGCAAAGAACGCTGTCGTCTTGTTTCTGCCCATCCGTGATAGACTACGCACTCGGAACTCTGGAGAATAAGGCGAGAGGCGGCTCTCGGGGCAAAAAGCCTCAGTCGGCCTCTCGTCTCACCATCTTCAAGGACCGAGAATTCAAGGACAAAGAGTCATACCGACAGTCGAGCACGTAAAAGCATCACTACAAGTCGGAGCTGTCAGCGGTCGACGGATATCAAGAGAAAGCAGAAATCAAGAGGAAGATCGAGAGAAGTCGTCGACTCGCTGACTCCAGAGCGGCGAAATCAGAATCCTCGAGCTTTCGCTCGAGGACGAAGGTAGGGAGGCGAGAATTCAAGAAGGCGTCTTCTACAAGCCACAGCGGCGAGGACTGGGAGACCAGGGAGAGGCAACGGACGACCGAAGGTCCAAAGCGAAAAGCGCCGGAGCGCGAAACCGAGCGATGGCGTCGCTTTTCGCTTCTGAGGCGCGCGAGTCTATCCTCAAGGACGGTCGTAAGGAGCCCCAGGCAGGCATCCAATCCCCTGATTGGGTGGATGCCATGCAGCCCCCCACCCCCGCTCCCCCTTCCTCCCCAGGCAGGCCCAGCCCGAGCGTTACCGCGAAGACGGATGACGAACTCAGAGGCGAGCACGGCGGGAAGCGACGGGAGTCCACTGGCTTTGGCTTCGGCTTCGGGCTGCCTCTGACCGGCTACAACACGCGGATTGGTCCGGGATCAGACGGAGTCGGATCGCTGCAAACCGGGGGCGCAGGTCGCTGGAAAATCTGGCCATGGCAGGCGCCGAGGCGCGACGGACGCCTGTCCCGCGCCACACGCTCTGCGCCGGGACGGGACGGGGACGGGGTAAGGTGGAAAGGGAAAGGGGACGGGGAGGGAAGCGAGAGCGGGGGGTGGGGAGAGAGCTGGAGCCGGAGTTGGAGATTTGGTTGCTGCTGCTGCTGCTGCCGCTGCTGGTGGGATCGATTCTGGAGCCGGTTTGCGTCGAACCTCGTGCACCTGTGGGCACGGGTGGCGGTTGAGGAATTTCATGTCTGCGGATTACAGCTGCGCCAGTTTTCCACATCCTCGTATGCGAGGGAGGTGGTAAAGCTCGGTTGGATTGCTCTGCCCTGCTCGGCTCTGCCCTCCTGCTCGTGCCCTGCTGCTGCTGCGAGTGACAGTTTGATTGCCCCGCATAGACATATGACGCAACAACTTCCAGCGGCTCTTCGGCATTCCAATTGCTCCCTGTGGTTGCCTCATGCCGCCGGGGGGTGCCGAGCGGGAGTGGGAGCTCGAGGAATTCTTGTTTCACCGCCACATTCGTCCAGACTCTCTCCAGTAAGTCTAGGTATTGCTAAAGACCTTCTGGTTTCATCCTCCAGCTCAATTTCTTTTTGAATTTGTCCCGGTTTCGAGTAAGTTAATTGGCGCGGTTTGTCTCCCGAGGCTTCCTTCGGTTGCTGTAATGGCAATTGCGTGGTGTCGTGGTTAGTGTGGGTGTGTTGTAAGCGCTCTCTTCCTCCGGGGCTTTGGTTGTTCGAATTCCTTCGCTCGGCTTTGGGAATTATATTGCTCCTATGTGCGCTCTGAGGGATTAGTGGAGAACGCTGCTGTCATGACCCTCAAGTGCTATTGGGAACATGTATGTGATCACCGAGTCTCAATGGGAACTTTACTCACAATGTATAACGTAATTCAGCAACGAAGGATCGAGAACGACCTTCTTGATTACCACAATGCAATGGCCATTGGTCAGGAGTGTTGCAGCATTGTTTTGTGCTTCGTCTACCATCGTCTAATTTGCCCTTTGTTTTGTTCACGCAGTATGTTCGAATGGACGTAAGAATTTCAAAACAAGGGCGAGTCTGTGGGACTCTCTCAGATCGGGGTGAGGGCTAACACTACCATTCAAGCATTCGTGCATTTATAGCAGGTCCTTCTTCAAGCTTTATCTCTGTGCAGACATGACAAGCCCTTGGTTGTCGAATTAGCAATTCAGTTTGATTGGATTGATTGGTTGAATAGCGTGTTCGTTGATCGCCGCTGTCACCTCGTTCTGTTCAAGTTGCCCGAATCGTCACCACTCTGCGGCGATATTCGAGTAGTAACCTGGTCTGGAGACTGGTTAGAGATTACTTTGACAGGTTGTGAGACGAAAATTATCTCTTGTAGGAGTTTGGAACTCATTTTATGTTTGGACATCTTTACAGATTGCTGAAAACCAGTCCCCCTCCTTCAACCGAACCTTCTGTGCTCGATGATGAGGAGGACCCAGAGCCCGAGGCAGATGAAGTTGTGCTGGTCGAGAAGGTGCAGAAAGATGGTACCATAGAGAAGATTGTATTTACCTCTGGAGGAGAGGTCGATGTTTTTGAGCTCGAGCGACTTTGCACGAAGGTAATAATAATATCCCATAATACTTACTCTGTACAGCCTGAGTATCGAAAGATGTGATGAGAATGCCCCGTTGAGGATAACAAGTGTTTATTGTGCACCTGCTTGAAGAGAAAGCATTACTTTTCGGTTTTCTGCTCGCACCGTACCAGTCGCGGATGATTGACTATCTCTGGCTTTGGACAGGTAGGGTGGCCATGGAGACCACCCTCCAAAGTGGAAGCAGCACTAAGGAACAGCTACATGGTAGCCAGCTTATACTTGCACAAGCAGACCCCATCGACAGGTTCGATTCAGAGCTCTCCTGTTCATATCGGATTGGATCAGCTGCTTCATTATTTTTCGGATCGCGAGACTCGCAAACGAATGCAATCTTCTCGTACGGGTACAATATCGAAGATGTTATGTTTAATTAACTCCTATGTTGTTGCATCACCTTACTAGAGGAGGGAGGAGAACCAGTTGAGAAGAGAGAGCTGATTGGAATGGCACGGGCAACATCAGACCATGCTTTCAATGCGACCATTTGGGATGTGCTTGTCGACCCATTATTTCAGGTATTTGTCACATACCGCTTCTTGGGTGAAATCGCATTGTCGATAAAGGTCTAAATCACGTGTTGCCGTGTTTCTAATGCAAATGAGAGATGTTCCAGTTCCAAATTCTCAACTAGCTGTCTCTAGTGTGGACACGTGATTCCTGTGCCGACATCACCTTTCGTAAAAGTATCAACCACCGACAACTTTTGGATTGCGATCATACGCTTACTTTATACCTTGTAATCATCTCAACTTTGCCTACTTCAGGGACAAGGACTCGGGAAAGCCCTGGTGGAACAAATGGTTCGAGCTTTGTTGCGTAGGGACATCGGCAACATCACGCTCTTTGCAGATGCTCAAGGTGCGTTTACGCCAAAGCTGAAGGCTGGTCTGTTGTGATTCACCCCTTTCTGGTATATACAGTTCAAGTAAACAGAGCACCAGTTAAGTTTGACAAAGATTTCTCAATCGGACCTACCTAAAATTCGCAGTTTCCAACCGAACGAAAAGAGAGCTGTGATCTGAAAGACTTTTTTAGCCTATGGCATGTATCTTTGTCAGTGGAGAGAATGACTTGAACTGGTGTGACACTTAACAATGCTATATAGAGGTATCCAGGGCTCAGAAATGCTTACAACGAAGGTGTCGACTTCTATGATCGGGCTAACATAGTTCACTTGCATTTGCTTGCCATTTGCAGTCGTGGATTTCTACAAAACCCTAGGTTTTCAAGCAGACCCTGAGGGCATCAAAGGAATGTTATGGGTGAAAAGCAAGTCTTAATTGGGAGTTAGCTAACATGATTCACTTGCGATTGCTTGCTATTTGCAGTCGTGGATTTCTACAAAGGTCTAGGCTTTCAAGCTGATCCTGATGGCATCAAAGGAATGTTTTGGTACCCACGATATTGAAAACCTGTCTCACTTCATTCGGCTTAGATGTGCAACAGAAATTCCGAGCACCATTGTATCCTGTGTAGAAGCTATTCTTATCGGGCACTCACCTGTAGTTCCAGAGGAGGTGGGCCTTGAGACTGAACTTTCGTAAATTAGTAATCGGTTGTCCCGGACTCTCGGGCAACTTTTACTCTACGGCACTGGATAGTCTGTAGTTTGTACCATAAGTGCCATTATTGCATTGTACCTTCTTGACTGCTTGCCTCTTCATGGAATACAGTGTCCGCGGGCTGTAACCACATTCGTGACGCCTGCAGATTTGCCTTTCCTGTGGAATAGCAGAAGACCCGTCTTCCAAAATTCAGAAGTTTTTTTTCCATTCGATCTGTTTCTTGAGCATTGAGCTCGCGTTATCCAAGTCTGCAACCGCCACTCTCTGAATCGGGACGACAAAGTGAATCGTTTCTGCCTGCTCCGCACAGTTGCACAGCAAAACCCCGAGTCAATGCAATACTGGGGAGAAGTGGTTTCCCCTTTATCAGTCACGTTTATTTGAATGGAACGTCACCATCACAAGAGCGGATAAGGAAACCCTGACAACCACTTCCACTGGTATCGCATGAATGTACCTCTCAACCATGCCAACGACATGGGCTACTAAAGCCGCGTGTGCCGCCCCGCCAAACGAGGAGGAATCGATGGTGCCCACCATTGCGCCTACGCCGGAAAGATAGAGGGGAAGTTATCCTCGTTCTATGTGTCCACCCTCTTGCTCCAGTAGTAGCCTTCTGTGAGCACGAGAGGATATGACAAGGTCACAAGGCTCCGTTGATTACCTGTCTTCCAATTTTCTTGTACAATGAAATCTGAATAATTAAATATAATCCAGTACTTTACGGGCTTAACGGGAGTATCTATTGTTGAGAATCTAATTGGGATGTATCCACTGAACATGGATGTACTCGGGGGGCCATGTATTATAACAGGAATTGAAACTAGATCAAAGATTTATTAAAATGCGCATGGCACCCCGTCTATAGTTTATCACGTTACAAACCCAAAATCACAATTTCATGATTCTCACCGTACGTAGAAAATAGTAGCAATGTATAAATCATAATTTTATAACATTATAGCTAGATCTTATAATCATAAAATTTTATCATATCTTAATATTTTTGGCTACATCTCAATTGCATCAATGTAGTATATGAAATAACTAGTAACAATGGTTCAATCCAAGAAAACCCGAACAGAAATCTGATAGGCAGTAAAGTATACTAAAAAAACCACTAAAAATCCATAAACTATTATCCATAACATATAATTCAGATTTGAATGGAACCCGAAATTGAACAACCAAAAGAATTTTCTATTTATTTTGAAAAGAATGAGCAAAAGCATAAACAACACGCGAGAAAATGATTCCACTCTTCTACCCTTCTCTCATATTATTGCGCCTCAGTAGGGCTCTCCACCTTTCTACTTTAGCGGAGGCGCCACATTAACCTCTACTACCTTTTCGGTATCGTTAGTTGCCGGCGTATAGTCACAACTTAAAAGGCTAAAAAAGAGAAGTACTCCTCCTCCTGGCGGTAACGGAGACGGAAATTAAAGTGAGGGGGGCCGGTTTCATGCCACGGAACTGGCAGGTGCCGGTGCCTCTATCCCTAAACCGATTTCCCGCCATTTCCTTCGATTCCAGTTCCAGACGAGGAACTCGTCGTCAGGTTCGGAGAACAGCATTTCGTACCCCTGCATTCGAATTCCGCTGCTGACAGTGGATGCTCCCAATCTCTCCTTCGGGAATTGGCGTTCTGGGTCCAGAGAGAATTTTGATGTTAGCTGCCGCTTTAATCGAAGTTCTCGAGGGCTGCGACCTCTGCCTGCCGCGGAAATTAGCTTCGAAATCGAGCGCTAGAGTCTTTTGATTTGTTGGTGGAGTAGTGAGAGGCGAGATGTATTCCGATTCGGGAGCAGATGGCGGGTCGCTCTTCGGAGGTGGGGGATTCATGCCCTCTCAGTCCGCGGGGCTGAACGACAACTCGTTTTCTCCCGGTGGAGGCTCGAAGGTTCAGTAGCGTTCTCTGCGTTTGCTTTCTCTGTCACGAGTGGAATGGTGGAAGTGTTGCACCTTGAAGACGAAGCTCATCGAAGTTTTGTCTGTCAGATTTGTTGTGAGTGGTGGGAGTCACACTCATACGTCGTCGGTCTTTGGTGTTGCGTAGGGCTCTTGGACAGAGTCATCGCGAGGCCTTTTTTCGTTGAACAAACTGCTCTCCTTTATGGTGATCACAAATTTTTTAAAATCATGGCGCATGTGTATGATTTGAGTCCGCGTGATTATTTTCCTCGCAGAAAGGCGGCTCCCAGAGTAGCGGTCTGATTCCTTTGACTGTGAAGCAGTTGAGCTCGGCATCTCAAAAGCCGTCTGATGACAATTTTTACGTTGACGGCCAGGAAGTTAACAATGTGAGTGGTCGACAAAAGGATAAAATTCGATCAAAAGCCCTTCACTTTCTCATGTTCATTTGACATTGATGCGTGTCCTTTCCCACAACTGAGAAGCAAAGGGGACACATTTTATTCGTACTTCCTGACATGGAGTTGTCTGTCACTTTTGCTTATTCTGCATGAATTTTTACTGGAAGCAACTAACGACTCAGAACCGATTCCAGAAACTGAAGTCAAAAGCTGTTTCGTGGCCTAAATAACAATTTCTGCCACCAAATGTTCTTCAGATCACTTTAGTGGGGATGGTCTTCAACAAAGAAGAAAAAGTTACCGATGTCTCCTTCATTCTCGACGATTTCACCGGCAGAATTGAGGTTAAGAAATGGTCTGGTTCCATTACCTCTTTTAAGTTCCTTCTTTACGTATGGATGGAGCCCCTGCATGAACAAACTACAATGGGTGCAAAAGTCATGTGCTGTTGGAAACCATGGAATTGTCTCATTTACTAGAGAGACTCGTATCATGAGCTAGCTGGCTCCTCAGCTGTGATTGATGATTTCAATGAACGGGTCTTGCAGGATTGATGGTCAAGATTCAGAAGAGCTCGTGGAGTTGCGCAATATCAGGTATTTGAAACTCAAGACGGAAGGCATCTACTCTTTCGATGGTTATGAAATGAGCACGTATGATGTACTGTGCTTGCGTCCTGATATTCACTCTCGGTATAGCTGCTTGTATGGCTCCAAGTACGTTGGTGTCGTCTCTTTGAACAATTCTCAACTTTTCCAAGACTTCCGAAGACCTCTTGGCGTTGAGAGCTTCATGTATGCTCATGGTGCGTTTTGCCTCTGGCAGGAATGGTATATACGTTCGGATATACGGGCATCTCAGATCATTTCAGGGGAAACGAAACGTTGTTGCCTTCTCCGTGAGGTAAGGACGCTTGCAATGTACAACTTCGTGGTCATCTCTTTTGCAGTCATAGAAAAGAATTACTCTTTGAGTGGTCGACTGAGTCGACCATCATCTACTCCAATCAACGTGCAACTCATCTTCTTCTTTTTTCTCCTTAATTGCAGACCTATCAAGGAGTTTGATGAGGTCACATTTCACTTCGTGGAAGCTATCTACGTCCACGCTTTCAACATGAAGACTCAGGTACATTGTTCTCATCCTCCCTCGTGCGCAGACACGAGCTACATGATGTATTCAGAGAGAAACTTCCGATCAGGCTCATTTGTCGAATGCAGACAAGTGGACTATTTCGTAGGCGTCAATAAGAGCCATTGTGAACACTCCGAGTTCGGAGTGTTCACAACTCCGAACTATTCGAATCATGTACCCTCCAAGTGGGTGCAAGTTTCTTGTTGTTGGAGTTTCCCTGTTGTGCGCAAAAATTGTAGAAGCCATGAAATTAATTGGAGCTTTCGATTCCGTGTCTTGTCATTAGGGAGGTTTGGCGGGATCCAGAACTCCTGCTAGTACTGCAGTTCCATACAGTGGGCACCCTGCGTCCTCCATGACTCCTAATCCAAGCGTGAACATGCGTACTAATCTTGCGAATCAGGTGAGCACTCGAGCTTTTCTTCCTACTCCCCGCTATTTTATCCTTGTTATGCGTGAAACTTTCTAATGCTCAGTACGACTCGCTGTTGTGTCTACACATTGCTCTGAATCCATTATTCACTTGATAAGACATATATCATCGTAAACTTGTACAGTACATGGCCCCAGCATCAGTGCCAGTAGGAAGCAACTCTGTGGACGAGTGCCAAAGGAGGGTGCATGCTCTATTTGATGAGCCCGCTAACTTGTAAGTCAAATTTCCTTTTCATGACCATGTAGATAATGCTCTTCTGGATACTGGAGACGTTTTAGGAAGTTTTGAATTTCATGGCTCGACTACACCTACTCAGTAATGTACTGTATGCTTAGCAGTTTATACAGTTTATAGCAGTTTATAGCAGTTTGTGACATTTAGCTGGTCTGAAGAAACTTGTTTTGATCGGTGTCGTTCCTTTTAGTAGCAGATGAAGTTCCAGCTGTTGTCAAGAATCTGCCTGTCGATGGTTGTACATGAATAGTGCTGACCGTTTTCGCTATGTTATTTAACGCACAGGGCTATTGAGCAAGGCCTGCATGTGGACGATGTGGCACGCAAAATGGTTGGCTACTCTAAGCAACAAGTCAAGTGAGTACAACCACATAACTTCTACGTTGTTTGTCCACTGTCTTCACAGTGTTAATCGAGTTAACACTTTCCTGTTCGATTCCCACAGGGATGCTATCGAGTTTCTGGTGAATGAAGGATTCATCTATTCAACGATTGACGATGATCACTTCAAGTCGACAAATGGGTAATCTAGTCTACGTAGGAACGCTCCGAAAGGGAGACGGTGGCAGTCAGACCGTTAGAAGCGGTCGGAGAGACGGACCTTGTGTGAGGGGTTTGTATTCCCCTATTATTGTCAAAGCTACGTCGATGATCTCCAGGTAGAAGAGATCAACTTCCAGAGGTCACGCTACTCCCCTACACTTGTAAATGCCAACTTTTAGATGCAGCCCTGGGGGGTTTTTTTTGTACATTGAGAAAATTAGGAGGGTTCTAGTGAATTAATGGAAGAGAAGTACAGTGAGGAAGGTGAAAAAGGTGTAGCTGACTAGCAGCACTGCAAGGATGCCTCTCTTTTGAGACACGCATGTTCCTACATCGCAAGAGAGTGTTCCCTGGAAGGCTGTAGAACCCCACATTAGAGCTTGAATGCCAATATCATTGAGGTGTCCAATTGAAAGCCTATGGGCACCACTTATTTCTGTGGATGTTAGTTGAAATAATTTGTGCACTTCGCTTATGCTGAGTTCCCCATGACCAACAGTTAACCCGATTGAAACATTACAATGTACTTAGTTCATTCAGATACTTCCTTGATTGTCAAATTTGGTCCTCATCCTGAGCTCTCTCGATCTGCTCAGCGCCTTTTGTTGCTGACCTGGGTGAAGGTTAGTTCGGCTGGAAAATTGATTTCAAAAGAAATGAGGTCCGAAATGTGAGAGGCACTTATTACGTGCTGTTACTGAAGATATGCGGTCTGTACCCAAAAAAGAACTCACGAGCCGCACCGACTACGTGAATCGAACTATTTGACTTAAAACCATGCTTTGCAGCAAAGACATCTACGAAATAAACGTCCTCGACATGGTCCCTCTTAATGCTGCCAATGATGTCACTGTTTTCGGTCACATCAAAGCAGTTGCCATGATACATGCCAATGTTTCTCTTGACATTCATTACTTTGTAGCTGAGTTTGAGTATAATCCTTTTGAATTATGCACGGATTTGGGCACTTAGTATCAATGTAACAATGTTTAGCGTCCGTTAATGCTAACTGAGAAACTTGCAAATCTAAAGTTGCGTACTCATATCACAGTCAAACAAGTCAACACAGTCAACATATCATATCTTCAGAGTATCCAGTCTATCAAGATCTAACTTGCTGCCACTGGTCATCAATCTTTTGACATCGACACGATTTCATTACACTCAAGAACCTTTCACTCTTGTGATCAACATTCATCTTCAATTTGAGCAGAACTCTTTGCCAAGACACTCCACTTGACTTCACCAACTTCGTAGACTGAAAGTACTTGACTCGACAATCATCAGGAGGTTAACATTTCCAATGCAATCAGACGGTTCAACTTTCACAAAGAGCGTCCTTAACGTCCTTCTTACTAGTCCTCTCAGTATCTTGTTTATTGAGCTAGAGGGAATAATGGCACTAGTCCTCTCAGTATCTTGTTTATTGAGCTAGAGGGAAAAATGGCACTGGATCAACTTAACAAAATACCCGTTGTAATATTTGTGGTCGTATGAACCTTTGAAAATATGATTGTGACATGAAGAAACTTGAAGAGCAGATAAACGTACTTACAACTTTGTGAGTCTAACATGCATCAAGTCAAGATAAAGTCAACTTAGTAGACGAATGTGACAACCAAGAAGAGGGTTTAGATTATGATTCAATAGAGTTAGAAGATTTTGCATTACATGAATCCATAGAATATTTGTTAGACTCTGTAGCTAGGAGTCATGTGATTGGCAATAGATCAATGTGTAGCTCATATGACGAAACTCTTATCCCTCTTGGATTTACATTACTAGTGGAACTTGTTTAATTATTGTTGGCAAGGAAACTATCTGAGTTGATTCAAGTAAAGAGGTCAAAAAGATTTTTGATGTGCATAGTCTTCCCAAGGACTTGCTGTCAGTAGAAAACCTAACAGATTTAGTCTACTTTGGTGTTTTTACTTCTAAGTATTGTTTTTTTCTTAACAAGTTTATTCTTCATTGGTTGTTTCTGTTTGAGCAAAGTGATTCTCGCATTCTATTATACCAACTTCTTACTAAGGTGCAACATCTCGATGCTTAATTCTTTTGTCACATGTTCCAACAGTTTGATTAGGCAAACAAACCTCCCGATCGTGTGAGATCATATTTTTGTGTTGGGGTCACAGAACAGCTGCCATCAAACAACTATTGAACTTTTGACCTCACAGACCTCTCACATGAAAGTTTGTGCCGCATTCGTCATCAAACAACACATCATATGATTTCAAAAACATTTGTGCATGTGCTTTATCGTCTCCAGTTTGGCAGAATTAGATGCTACGAAGCATGTGACTGTCAAAGCAACATTGGACGAAGAAGTCCATTCTGACAATTAAAAAGAAACCTTGTCCCCTATAGTTAATACACATCGATGTATTGTACCAATTAAAGTAAGTACTGACTTTATGTACTTCATAACATACATTTATGATAACATTAGTTTTACATGTGTCAGGTTATTGCATCACAATTCTGAAACTTTGTATCACTTCCAATAATTTTTACTTACAGAAAATCTTTACCCACACAAATAATCTTTGGTTTGACATTCAAAACATGATTTGAACCCTAAATTCAGTGCAATTTGATCTGATAGAGAGTCTGATTATTTCTCCAATGAGTTCAATTTCTATTGTGAATAGAACGTTATCACTTGATTGCTCACAACAACAACAAATTCTCATCTTTTGTTTGTCTTATCAAAAGATCAAGCTATGGTCTCAAACAATTTACTAAATAACAATATAAGTAGATAGATTTTTGAAGCTCAACTCCAATCAATTTTGATCACAATCTCTCTTTTGTTAAAAAAGTTAAGATCATCACCTTGTTATTTTTTCATGTTGATGATATACTATTATTAACAAACTGTTTTGCACGCATTTCAAAGATCAAAACACAATTAGACCAACGATACTTGATAAAGGATTTAGGGTCTCTTGTGTTATCTCGATGTTGACTTTCACATGCTCTCATCATAGTTTGACCTTTTCATCCACATAAGTATCTTACATAGATCATGGACGAATCAAAGCTTGATTCTTCGATGGTCGAATCAATTTCACTCCCAATCCGCCATATGCGAGAAGATGACTTAGTAATCGCATTCTTAGATGTTTCAACCTACTGCCACATTGTTGGCAAATTGATAATTTTCTACAATACTCATCCCAACTTGTTCCATGTTGATGAAGTGGCAAGTTGTTACATGCATTCGCCACACCGAACACACTTGAACCTTTATAGCACATACTTCACTATCTTAGTTTTACTTGAGACTATCATCTCTTTTACAACAACAACGACTCTACTTTTATCTATGAATACTTAGATTGTGACTATCTTAATTGCCCCAATACACGTTGATCCAATGTTTTGGTCATCAAAACAACAAGCTATAGTGTCTAACAATGCTATTGAAGCAAAGTACAAAATGCATTATGAAGCAACCAATGAAGCAGTCTACATGCATCTACTACTCATAGAAAGCTCTAGATTTACCGCTTGTTGCAGTCCCAATTAAATGTCAAGACTCCAACATTTGCAAAGACCTCATGCACATAGCAATTCTAATTCGGACAGATTTGCACCTCTCTAGTGACAATCAAGATGTTGCAAAGTTCGCTATTAATCAGTTTGTCATGCTAAAATAAAACACATCAAAGCAAATCATCATCTTGTAAGTACAAGAGTCGAGAGAAAAAAGTGCACCTGATTACATACACACACAAGACAATGTAGCAGATCTTATGATGAAATCCCTACCACAAGACAAGTTTGACAAACATGGATAGAATATTGATATGCAATCACTAGCGGATTTATAGGAGGTTCTAGCTTTGCCATTTAGTATTGCTACCATCCAATCCTTACAATTGGGCCTAATGTTTCAACGCTACTTGCTAACCAAGAACCCACCTGACCAATCTTACACAGAATGATAAGGAGATCCGAGAACACACAGATTCATGCAACCATTATCTTAAGCTAGTAAGGAGATCCACCAGCACATAGATTCATGCAACCATTATCTTAAGCTCGTAAGTAGATCCACGAGCACATAGATTCATGCAACATCTTCTTAAGCTGGTAAGTAGATTCACGAGCACGCATGTTCAAGCGACCACTATCTTAAGCACCATGCTACATGTCATTGCAAATTGCGTGTTCTCAAGAGGTGATGTTGTAAGTCTTAGAAGATCTTTAAAAAGAAGAACCACTTGATACTGTACGCTGTATCCACCAACTATTCCGTTTTTTTCTCTCACATCACATAAGTAAGTCCGGAAGTAATGAAGACATGAACAGCTTTTGGAAACGAAAAAAATAGTTGGAGAATGTTTACCATGATAATGATGAGGATATTTTTATCTATCAAGAGTCAGATTAGGACGTAGAAAACACCATTATAATCAAGGTATCAAATCACTTTGGATCTAAAAAACACTAATATATTTGAGGATCAAATCACTTTATAAACAAGATATTGATGTAAAGTTCAAGTAGAAATTGAAAACAAATTAAATGATTTTAGAAAGTTTTTGGAATAATTTTAAAGTCATAAAAATTATCTTCAAAACTTACACTTTATAAACAAGTTGTTAATCTCTAAGTTTGAAGATGAATTTGATGATTTTAGACAATTGTTCAGATCGTTTTGAATCTTTATTTTCAAAACTTACTTCACATGACAATCCATGATAAGTTTGAACTAAATATATATATTACTTAATATTTTCGAAAAACAATGAATATTTAACCGGCATACATACTTAAACGGTTGCTCACGGAACGCTCACTGAATCCTAACAAACATATTATGTCTTGATATGCTTAAACAAAAAGTGAATGGCTACATTCCAAAAGGAGTCTGCTACACTCAAATGTTCATTCCTTGATCTTTGGCTTTTCATCTGTGCTCTAACATGAACAAATTGATACCCACCGTTATACCCAGAAATTATGGATACATGGTATAAAAGGAATGCAAGAAAAAGTCATGGACATATACACAAACCAAAGCCACAAAAAGGTCCAACGCTACGTTTAAGTTACAGTACAACGATTGAATTTCGGAGCTCCGGTAGCTTCTGTGAGAGGCGAACCCATCGACCTTCCTACAGTATTCAGCGGCTGAGGGAGGAATCGTCCGCAGGTCACTCTTTAATTCACTGGTATATTCATTATCATAATCATCGGAAAGAACGGCTACGGCTAGAAAACTTCATATTCATTTCCATCATCATTTTTATTCAAAAAAGTCTCGAGCCGATCCAGAGACTTACGTGAAGCAAAATCAAGACAACCACACGTGCCGTGGGTATCAAGAGAGATGCCAATAACCCTACCAATGTACATCTAACCTCGATATTATAGCCTACGTATTGCGTACCGGCACCAATAAACTAGATGGTGCAAAAGTCACTTCCGACATAGGAAGAAAACCTCACTCTAAATTTGACATGTATCCCCTTTCAACACTTTAAAGGACCTCACCGCTGGTGCTAGCAGAAATATGAGGTTACTTTACAGCTTATCATTCCCGCAGGCCATACATGTCCCTGCTCTTGATCCACAGACCTCAGTCTTGTATGTATGTGACAAGGCTCTCAGATAACTGTCTGTCACACCGTCTGACAAAATGGGAAAATCTGAATGACAATTTATCTAGAAGCACCTTGGTTTGATCTATCTCTCAAATTCTCAACTCGTGGTACCTCGATCCAGCTTGGATCCTCGATCGGGTGCCCTGCAACGGATTCAAAGCCAGCTACAGAGGATTCATCATCAGATCGTGGGGCATCAGTACCATCCGTGCTCGATCCTTGGTCTGGTCGGGAGCCTTCGATTCTCGTTGAGCGCAGAGCCTCCTCTACAGCCCGGTAGGCTGTTGTAGACACAAAACAGCAATCCGAGTGAGTATGATATCGCTGAAAGTCGATATGATCAGTCGCTGATAGTATTTCAGATATCGCTGAAAGTCATCAATCCTGCATCCGTAAGAAAATATTGTCTCCGCGGCATTTCAGCATAACTTACCTGTCAAGGCAACCTTTTGAACTGTACTCCTGATGGCCAAGATCTCGTTCTGGTGAGAGATAATAAACTTGTTCTGCGGGAAGAGAGGGAAAATAAGCACCATGCCGGGAAGAGTGCGACATAATTTATGAGCTCTTACAACTAATTATTTCTGTTAGTACAGATACTGGGAAATAGCACTCGTCAGTGCGCACTGACATCTGATTACTCATAGTAGGGAAAATATCGTACAGCAGCACTTTTTCGACAGGCTAAATTACTGCTATGCTCACACATTCTATAACCAAAGCACAGAGCTCCAGTGATTCCGGTGCAAAAGAAGGGAGAGAAGTAACACAGATTCCTTTGTACCATGTCATTTCGGGTGCCGTCTACGATGCGGTCCAGTCTAGCTTGATGCTTCATTAAGAAAGGCCTTATCAAGTTTATGTACGTGTACCTCGCTCCCTGCCAAAATATAAACAAGCCTTCTTCAAACATGTTCAGTAAAAGAGACCCACGAGCTACTTCTTGAAGTGCAAGCATCAAGGCCGATACAGTTTGAGACACTAGTTTTCATTCTGGAAATATCTGTCTCTCTGCCGAGTACAGCTGTCTATTGATCGTTACATTAACCCACCCAACCCCTTCCCCTGTTTACCGCGAGACTTGGATAAAAAGTTCCAGCGACCAAAACGCGCAGCATCTCTTGCAGGAAATCGAACCTAAAGCCTTGATATAGGAAGGAGAGTGCGGCAGCAACGCGATACTAAAATCTGGAACTGAAACAATTATATAAAAATGCAGGTGACAAAGCTCTAAATCCCTAAAAATACCAAGGGAAAGAATCAAATGATGAGGACTTACATAATTATTCGGCAGTTGGAGCCAGACGAGGAACACGAACTTGGCGTGATAATACATTGGGAACCTGCATTTTATCAGTCTCATTAGAAGATTACCATCACAGGCGTACAAATTGAATGGATGTATTTGCTTCGATCATTTGTTTGATAAGACATGTCGGAAGTTAGATCCGAGTTATAAATTTCGACTTCAGAAGCAACACGGCAATAGGAGGGGAATGAAACGGGGAGAGCAATATACATCCAAAGTGTTATGGTTTACTAATTGCAGAGCTCCTACGTACCAGGAGAGCAATTTGTCCGTGCACATTTCCACTGCGCTGAAGCATCCATAGGCTGCATCCATAGATACAGAGATGTCATATCGACAATCAAGATGCAAATTAAGATGGTAGATGATTCTTCACCCAACTTGCGCAGCCGTTCAGACCTAATCCGACTTAACTTATATCGGACATTATAGACCACACATGAAGACTGTGGTGCACATTTGAGCTGATAACGTACGACCTCCACACTCTTGCTTTAAGGTAAGGACGACTTTTAAACGCTGACTGCACTGTGAATCATACCTGCCCAGTAGACAAGCCACATTTCTTGCTCGTTACGATCTTTGCGCTCAATTGCCTTGTGTGTGGAGTAGATCGGAAATCCAACTCCCACGATATGACTATACCAACCGCCAACATTTGCTCAAGTTAGATATTGTGAAATAAATCATGTCCAACGATTCCAATTCCGATGTCAACAAGAGGATGGCCCATGCGTCAATCTGAGCTGTTACTGTTCTCACCATGCTGAGCGCACGATCACATTAGATGCTGCTGGGGAAAGCAAGAGGCGTAACCCGACCTGCAAACATATCACAACAGTTAGCTTGGAAGCGAGTTCAATACAAAGCCCCTTCCTATCCTGACATGGCGGCACATTGAGCACCACATCATAATGGCATAAATTTCGAAGATCTCCTTCGCCAGAAAGATCTTACGAATGAGTACTCAAGAAGAAGGAAAACACTCACAGCCTCGGTTCCTCATACTTGAGAACCAAACCTTCAATTCATGACACCAACTTGAAACAAAACAAACAACACCGGAGATACTTCGTCCTGAGCATACCATGACATCCCACCTATCCATATCGTAGTCAGTTCTACTACAACCCGCACCCGTCTCTTCAATTCAATTGGCCTAGCTCCCAATTACGGATAAGCTTTCGAGCAGGAAAAGATCAGAAGAACCCTAAACAGCGGGTCCGAGAGCTTCAGGCACTGACGTACACCGAGAGAAGGAACTGCGAATGACGATACATTTGAGCTCGCATCATTTTCCTCATACTACAAAGATTATATACGCAGACGTCCGGCATCTCACCTCGCTGCCCAAAGCAGAGCCCATCAACGCCATTCCTTCACCCCACGCCTCGTCGTTAAGAGCTGGCGGCTCCCACGTTTCGAATTGAAGCAAACTCGAACTCGGAGCAAACCCCGTGAAAATACAGCTGCCCTTCCTCAAGCGACCGAAGGACGAGTGACAGCGAGTTCGAGCGCCCAGCCCTTGGGAGCACAGAAAATCACGGAGCCAGATCCAAATTAAGCCCAATCAAAGGAACCAAAGACAGGGCGCAGCAAACTCGCGCTCTTCGTCGAAAGACACGAAGAAGCGAAGATAAAGAAAAGTCCGCAGCGACCGCCTCTTTCTCCTCTTTCACCTCAGATGCGCGAGGGCAAGGAAACAGAGCACAAATCGAGCGACGAGCGGACAGGGCACCGCTCGAAGACGAGGACGACGAAGCTCCCTCCGCAGAGAGAGAAGCGAAGCCAGGATCGCAAGAGCTCCCTCCCCTCGCTCTCGGGCCCTGGGGCTCGATGTGTCCTCCCCTTGGCTCTCTCTCTCTCTGTCTTCGAGAGCTGCTGACGAAGAAAGGCGAAGGCGCGGGCGCGCGGGCGTGTGGGGAGCGCTTTTGGGCGGCTTCTCTGGCGATGGCCGTTGTGCCAAAAATGGCCGCCCCTCGGACCAGCGCCCGATTTGGTTCTGACGAGCGACGGACGGACGGACAGCCCGTCACGCGACTCGAGATTCCTCACCCCCGGCCGCCAGCCGGCGCCCACCGGCAAACGCCGGGATACGAAAGGTTCCTTGAGACGGGCAACTGGTAGCAGTTATAACTGACACGGCTCGCCTTCCTGTATAAGTGTTTCTACTCCTTCTCTACGGGGCTGCGAAGTTTCCGGAGGTGGGAATCGGGAAGCATTGCAAGCCTCCACTCTCTTTAAGGATTTCATGCGATCATATTTCATCAGGTTTAGTTTACAATCTCATGTTTAGAAAAAAAATCATATTGAAAATTCCTCTAAAAACTTTGATATTTCTAATTCATAAACTACTAAAAAGTTGCAGCGCAATTGATTTCTTTTCATATACTGTATGAATGTATATTCTAAAAATATTCTGCATTCACTCTTTCGGTTTATCTTGTATATTTAATGTCTTTTAGTTTTTTCAAGTTCTAGTATTCTTATGTCAAGAGCTAAGAAATTTAGATATTAGTACGATGGATAATATGATTTTAAACTAACAGAAATAGTTGATTTGAATACGATAATACTATTAAAGGTGAGATTTCTTGGGAAACTTGATTTGGTGTGAAGTGAATAAATAATCAAATGATATCTTGTTGAAAACTTAGCTATGCAAATGTGGAGCAAGAATTGGAAGAAATGCCGAACGGCGTGAAGGTGAGTGGAAAGTATAACTGGGGCGAATGTTTCACGGGGACAACTGCGTCGCGATTGTTTTGATGGATTCTACGCCTCTACTGTAGACGCCATTGCAGTGGTGTTTACCGAATGTGTACGGTGATCCGCCTCAATGCCGAGAGTGGGTACAGTACCCAGACGGGTCATTGTTCGCATCTGCAACGGGACACAGACACAAAGACGACAGGGCATCGGTCGAATGGGAGTCAAGGGTGCAGACGGTTGTCGGGGGACATCGGGTCCAGTGCGCCTCGCTCGTCGCCTCCACGACTGCACGCTCGCATCAATCATGCGGCCCCGTCTTTTCACCGGTTCCGGTGACCGACGGCCGGAGTATTCGATGCTCGACCACCGGCCGCGGGCGGGACGGGCAGGTTGATCCGTCCCGTACTGCCTCGTGGTACCAACACAACTGCCGTCCAACGTCTGCCTTTCGGCTCGAGGTAATGTTCCCCAGAAAGAGACACGAAACGATCTGCGGATGTCGCATGAATTTATCGAACAAGATGTCATGTCAGTTTCTCTAATATGACTAGTTTTAAATTTGAGTTTTTTAAAACTTTCATTATGTTATTATTTTTTATATGTTTACAGATATTGAATTTTTATTTAATAATCGTAGTAAAATTAAAATTATCATTTCATTCATTGCAAATAATATTTTTACTTCTAAAATATATGTATATATATAGTACTAATTACAATACTAATTATTATCAATAGATAATTATTATTGTTCGGATTATAAATTGAAATCATTGGAAACAGATAAGATATGTAAATATTATAGAACTCATGCTGTATATAATATTTTTGCTCTCTGAATCAATGTGGAGTATAGCTATGAAGGTCTAGGCTATCACAGTCGCTGAGACTGGACTTCAATACTCCAAGAAAATCCAGCCGACAAATTGATAAAACTGCACCGTAGGGCTATCGAGCACTTGGTTAGTTCCTTGGCTTGAAGATGGGCAGTGCCGACGATCGGCACATTACAGTACTGCTATTGGGTCCGAAGATGGCGGGAAAGGCAGGCATGGCCTTCATCATCGAGAGTGCAGAAGCAAAAGATGACACTGCGAACATAGGTCGAGATCTCCACTCCTTTGACGACAGGAGATCACTCTCTAGAGATGTTGTCGGCCCCGCTGCTTCCTCCCTTCGGCTGCCTCGATGTAATCGAGCCAGCCTTGTGGAGAATTGACGACGTACTTGGTCTCCATCCGAGGCCATCAAACGGCCGTGGTGGATCGAAAACGAGGTCAACTAGAGGAAGTGCAATTCTGTCGTCAAGGGGTCGGATGCAACGCTGCCACTTCACACTGTTTCTCGACCTGAGGCGAAGAACTTTGTTTGTTCCATAAGATCCAATGTGCTGCTAAAACTTACAATTTTAGGGTTTTTGGCCCTAAACCCCTAGAAAACAAACCCTAAGTCACCAGGCTTTTCCACGATACATATCCTGATTTTGTATTGCTCTTAGTAAAAAGCAATGAATGTGCACTACTTAACTCTATTTCCAAGTTGACAGTATACAATAATCGAAGTTGATTGCCGTTGTCCAGAAGTTGGGTTTGCACCAGAAACTGATACATGGCACAAAAATTGCAGTCGTCAAATTCTCCTCTATGGTGGGCATAACCTATAAACCATAGAACCATAAACAAGTGATCTCTACTGAGTAGAGCATAAACTGCTAAATCTCACATGCTCTTCATGGACAGTTCTACATCGCTAGATATACTCCTCCGTGCCTGTCCTGGAACTGCTGCTTTTAGAACGTACACGATATCTTGGCCGTGGGACTTTGCCCGGTTTCTTCTGCATATACCCATTTGATGCGAATTGCCATGCAACAATGTTCCATTTTCGCTTGTCACCAGGCATCTTCGTGCGCATAATAAATCCGAATCACAGGTTAAGCTTTCGTTCTTTCAAGTGCGCATCTGCCGTTCGTTGCCGTGTATATAGTCTTGCCACCTTTATAAAGCATTTAGCAGGCAAAGTAAACGCTTCAGGATATTTCAAGGAATTTGGACGTATCTCTCGACCAATAACACAAATGTACACGGACTGTATATAAAGGCGGACTTCAAAGGTCTACTCACAATTTAGAATCTCTTTCAGAAACGCTGGTACATTATGGTACAAAGACGTGCTGCCATGGATACCTGCTGTTGTCACACGTACTGCTGCTGTCGTTGCTACAAATATGTTGTAGATCCATCCCACCCAGAGCACATGTACATGTTGGAATGATCAACAGTCACATGCCTAAGAGAGACATTCTAACTGAGGAAAAACAGATCCAGTGTTCCGTATCCCACATCCATGACAAAACCACATGATATAGATTGCAAAATCCGAGGGTAGTTTGTTACGACTCTTTCATCCGTAAGATCTTGATTCTGTGCTTGTATACTCAATTACATGAGATAGATCTCTTATACAGATAGCGCGAGTCCCCACACACCCGCTTCGTAGCTTCTAAAGTACATTTGTTCGACCTGTACGACTCCTGTTGCTAAATAGCCAAACATGACCAATGTCGATTACTAATTGCCAGGAAACTCAGGAAACTGTAACATTGCTGTCAACAAGAAACTTGATGTCTTCATCGAAGATCGTAAGATGGACAGCATGTAAAAGAAAACCTAAGGAAGGCATACACGCCCAGAGCATACGTGTGTTCAGCAAGCTCCTCAGTACATCCTACCTCATGCCTTGAACCGAACTTGCTAAGTCAACGGCATAATGACTGATCAGTTTGACAAGATATTGCAATCAAGTCAAGAACTGAAAGAGGTCAGAGGTCTTGCGCTTTTATAATCAGTTGGATTTTCTTATAATACCTTGATAACAAAACGCTGTATCCTATAACTAAGCTGACTACAGTAATTGAAATTTTACGTATTCTACATCTAGCCTTCCCTTTCCTGTAGACATCTTTCGACCATTTCCACGAGATGAGGATTTTCTAGGGCTGCAGCCACTCTTTCTTTGTCATTTAGCTGCTTGTTCACTGAAAACAACCACGTAAACAGGTTAGTACTCCTGGTAAGTGTGGAACATAGAGTACAGACGGACACTAGCTCTACGATCTGATAAAGCAGTTTGGTCCTAAAGAAGTTACAAACAAAGGCTCACGTAATAAAAACTAAGACGGGTGCTACTTTGAATACGAAACAGATTCAAACCTTTTAAGTCGGAGGGATTTTTTTGACTGAAGTATGTACATCATGTTGAAAAATCTGATTAAAAAAACGATTGCCGCTACCTGGACGAACCCAAGTAATCTCTTTTGATCCTTGTATGACAAGAGTATCATACGAGGCTCCCCCTACCACCTTCCACCACCCCACCCCACCCCCCTTACCTATTAGAAAAGCTTGATTCTGGCTAGCCTGGCTTGTTTTGACAAGAGGCCTTAAGCTGTCAGTTTTAAAATATCTCATAATTCTGTACTCAGTTACTAATTCACAACGTTGTCAAAGCTAGGAAAACTTCAGAAAGACATGCAACATGTGCATATAAATTATATGGACATGTTGCATGTTTCCTCTCATCTATATGCTGGTTAGGCAAGATATCCATAAACCGAGAGCATCCCAACAGTGTATTTATGCAGAACTCGATTACATGGAGCTGCAAAATATCTGAAGATTAAGGAAATGTGTGGAGTCCTCATTTCAGCTCTAGCGTCTGGATACCATATCAAGAGATAGTTGTTCTCACATGAGATCCAGGCTCTACTAAATCTGAAACTTTTAGAACTACCATCAAAGAATATGATGCTGTAGACAGCTGTTAGGTCTACCTGGAGGCTACTTTTAGACTTGATCCTCAGCATCTTTCATTCTTGACCACCCCTCAAAAGTGGACAAGCCAAACCTGTTTCACAGACTGAAGTGGAGGTTCAGATATGAAACGGTTTATGTGCATGGATTCTCATCTTCAGTATGTTCGGAGGTAGGAGAAACTTGTACCTATCATTAACATTTTTACCGCACTGGAGCGAAAGAAAGGTAAGGGCTGGGTAATGAGCTCACACATTCTCAACTCAGAAATAATAACTTCAGTCCAATTCCCCCTTTTCAGTCGGTTTCGCAAAGGTTTACGTTCAAGAACTTGCTTATCTAAGCACTCAGATTTTTATATGGAACTTATAAATAAGAATATATCTAACTCACGCTAAGAGCTGTCCGAGTGTGGAGACACTACATACTGCGCGATCCAAAACTTATAGCATAGGCACATTACACAACAACTAAAACCAATGAATTTAAAAACTTGGATAACGATCCATGTTTGGGTAAATGGCACGAAGGAGTGCAGTCCGCGTTACCTGCTGCTTCAGAGGCATGGGAGCCAGGAGCGACCCTGATGTCAACCTGAGAATCGCAAAGGGGAGACAGATTTTCAACCAACGAGGTAAAATTTGATCCTTTCTGAAGGAAGAGCTCATGAATTACAGCATGAAGCAGAGTGAATGATTAAAAACTTCAAATGTCCGTACAAACTCGTCGGCCCTATGAGGGTCACGGAAAGCAAGCGGGAGGACTCACTTTGAAACGAGGCGGAAGACATCTCATGAGCTTGACTCTGATACAAAGCCCAATTACTGTGGCCATACTGCAGTGCTGTACAGTGGGGGTAAACGTAACCCTGCAACGAATCAGCGTAAGGTGAATGGGGAGATCTTCATTGATGATCGCGAGAAAAATTCAAAAAGCAAACAGCACTCTGCACTCTGCACCGCTGAGTTGCCATACCCTAAACTGACACTTAGAAGAGAGTCAAGGGTAGAAGGCTACGCACGTAACATGGCTGGACTTGTCATCGACATCGATCGCGTCCTCCGAGACCACATTAAGCTGTTCCAAGGAGTACGGATGCTCTGGATCCGTGATGTCTCTTACATGCTGTGCAGAATGCTAGGTCAAGTCATACCAAGTATAAAACTCCGAAAATCATCCAGAAAAGCGTTCTATTAACTTCCAAAGAGGTGGCCCCAAATAATCCTCGTAACAAAACAGACTGCGGCAAGATCAAGGAGCGAATTGCAAAAGAAACTTAAAACTTCAAAAGGATATCGAAAATCTCGAGCGCATCAAACTCATCGACACTAGTCTCATCAGTGCTCTCCTGTCTGACAGAACGCGCTTTCGTCTCATGCACAACTGGATTGGCATTGATCAACCCGGGCGTCATCTTCTCATACTCAGCTCAAACACAATCACAATGCTTCGACGAACAAGCTGATTCCCTCCACAACTCGCCGATGGCCAGAGTTTACAACCAGGCAATCCTTCCTCTGGGCACCTCAGCTCAGGGCTCCGCTCGCAATCAATTTCACTATGGACCAAGCCTGAACAACTTCCACCGAACACTTTTCGCTATATCGACGCCCGATCCTGTGCTCGCCACACGCCCGTCTGATCTCCCCCGCACTTCTGCTCTGAACTCGTCCTCTGGGCCCTCTGCCTCTCCCGTCACCCGTATCCGTCTCTGGAGCGAGCCCTGTGCCCATCCTCGACCCACGGCTTCCCTTTGTCTTCTGCACTTTGACGGTAATCTTCCGCTTCCAACCGGGAAGTGGCGTGGATGACCGCGTGCAGCAAGTATGGACAATAGATCTCTCTCTAATTGTATGGATGCAATCCATAAATGCATGAATAAAAGAATATATACCCAAAACGATAGATCTCAGTAATTTTTTACGTCCATAATATGATACTAAAATACATGTTACGAATGTACTTTTTTATTTACTTTATTAAAACATTAATATCTGACAAGTTATCATCTAATATTATCAATCTATGGATAACTTGTGAAACTAATATCTAAGTATGAACAGAGATATTTTAGAAAAAAGATTGATTGCTTCATTTTTTTTTGAAGTTTAATACTTGCAGGATTTTTTTTACATTATTTATCGATTTATTGTGTTGGTAATTTGAATTGGATGTTTCAACTATAATTTAGAAAAAAAATTAAAGTTCAAATTTTGTGCAAGCAAAAAAAAAATTCAGAAAAAATGAAATAACGATGCAAATAAAAACTAAGTAATCAGAAAAAATCAAAAAATGTATTCAAAAGAACCATTATCTTGCAACAAAAAGAATTATCATGTATATGTAAATTTTCTAGAAGTATAATGTTCTAAAATTATGATATGTAGTTTTGAATTTTGATGCTCTCAATCTTTTTTATATATATTTTAAATAGGGTTTATATATATATATATATATGTATAAACTTCTTTTTCTAAAAAGTATTCATTTTAGTAGCAAAAAATAATAATTGACAAAATATTGTGCTCACGCTACAAATTTATTGAAGCAACAAGAACAATATCAAAGTTAAACAATAAAGACAAACTCAAATTTCACTTGAGCAATTAAAAAAACAATAACAATGTTTGAACAACAAGATATCAAATTATAAGCAAGAAGTACAACATGAATATGCACATATTCAAATGCTAAGTATAAAAAGAATGATAATATAAAAAATAAGAGTTAAAAAAGTATAAGTAGTGAATAATCAAGAGTTGTGAAGCTACAAATGCTCAAACAACAAGGAAATAATAATGTATGATGTGGGAAGCTAAGATTTTCTTTAATAATTCTGTTAATGCATCCACAAAAGTGTCTCCATTTTTTCTTATGTATGGAGCTCCTCCTATAACTCCTTCAAGTTTGATGAGACTTTCCAAAGGAGAGGAGTTTTCTACCAAAGTTGCAACAGTCAACGAATTCGTGGAGCATATTCACCGAGGACTACATCAGGCCAAGGAGAAGTTGGTGATAGCTCAAAATCGGCAAAAGCAGCATGCCGATGCTCATCGTAGAGAAGTGATTTTTGAGGTTGGAGATCATGTTTGGTTATCTACAACGAATTTGTCTCTTGTAGGAACACCAAAGTTAAACCCTAGGTTCATTGGTCCATTTTTGGTTTTGAAGCGTGTTGGTGAAGTGTCATACAAGTTGGAACTTCCGTCACATATGAAAATACATCCAGTATTTCATGTGTCACGATTGCGAAAACATGTACCACGACCAAAACAATTCACCAACCAACCAGCACCACCTCCTCTTCCAACCTTGATAGCAGATCATGAGGAGTTTGAGGTAGAAAAGATACTCAAGAAACGTATTCGAGGTCATAAATATCCCAAAGTAGAGTATTTGATTTAATGGAAAGGTTATCCATCATATGAATCAACTTGGGAACCAGCTAAAAATTTAGCAAATGCACCTTTGATAGTTTAGGAGTTTGAACGTATGTGCAACGAGGACGTTGCATCTTAAAAGGAGGGAGGTTTGTAACCATCTTTAGTTAGTTAGAACTAAAGTAGAGGTTACTCTGAATATTGATGTAGATACTTTAGTGTGTACTAGTCATAGCTGCCACGTCAGCGATCCGCGCACTTGGTAGGTACAGAGTGGATGTGTTAGTTGACAGTGCCACGTCAGCAATCTGTGTGCTTGTAGGTAAAGATTGAGTGTGTTAGTTAGTGTGTTAGTTGGGTGCGCCACGTCAGCAATCCGTGTGCTTGTTAGGATTATCCGCCACGTCATCCATCCACTAGGAGTGGGATGGATGGTGGGGATTAGATCTTATCACCTTGTACTTGTTGGTGAGAGCTATATAAGGGAGAGGAGAACCATTGTTGGAATCTCTCATCTTCAGAGTTTACGTTTCTATCTTCGAATGAATTTATCTCTAAACCCTAGTGTTACACCTCCGTAGTATTTCTGGGAATGACTAGTGCATGAGAATTCAAACTCTTCAATAGACTTTTAAGTTGTGACACTGGATCTTTTCTCAACTTGATTCCTCAGTTTGGATTTTTGTATTCTCTGCGCGTTTTGTGAGTTGACTGTGTTGTTCATCGCGTGAGAGTGACTTCGGTTTGACGAAGTTACCGCATCCGAAGTAGCGAGTTCAACCCGGATGCCCTACACTAGCAATAACTACTGGAAGGGTTGTCAATTCGGAGTTAGGCGACTACCTGCAGATCCTCTGAGCGTTCTCCTTAGAAACTTTTCCCCCTGAACCTTAAGTGGAGATCCTAATCGGCCTCTAAGTTGTGCTTTTCCAGTTTCAGGTGTGTGTTGGGGTGAACTACGCTGCACTGTGCGTCCTCCGAGTTGTGCACTTGCAGTATTTCTGGGAGTGACAGTCGCCTGAGAATTCAAACGTTTCAATAGTCTGTTAACACGTGACACTTTGTACTTTGTGTGTTGCCTTTGTCCTTGTGGGTTCAACCTTTTGCTACTATACTGCAGATTTGGCCTTTGGTGGGTTATTACAATCTAACACCTTGGAATTGTTGTAAACAAAGACCAACGGCGCCCTCTGATATAGAGTAAAACTTCTATTTTGTCACTTGTTACATTTGTTGACCCTTGTATCCGGAAAGCTAACAGGATCAGATCTGGACATCTAGATCCGATTATGAAGTATCATTTGTGAGATTTTAATCTCTGATCATTTGGGCTGTATTTTGGGTTTGTTGTCGATAAATAACACGTCTTAAATCTTCTCCTACTCATTCTACTTCACAGGATTGCTAGAACTAACACTCAAGTCTCTACTAGTGAGAGTTTTGCCAAAAAACTTGCAAATTGAATGCTTTGACAATATCATGTTCCGACATATGAGCAGGGAATAAAAAAATGTTGATCATAAAAATCATCAAACATTGGAAAATTATACAAGCAACAAAATAAATAAATGTAAGACATGAGCAAAACATGAGATAGTAGAGATACATAGACTAAATCAACAAAGCAATGTAAAAATAGAAAGTTAATAAAGTACAAACAATAAGCATAACAAGTAGGTGTGGAGATACAAATGTTTGATTGACGGCATAGAAATTAATCTATGAGGAGTATATCAAAAATTCTAAGCAATTGTAGATAGCAAAAAATTGAAAATATGAAATTCAAATAGATTTGATCTAAATTTGCTATAATTTGAAAATATTTCATTTTGAGGCAATTTATATTGATGAAAAAAAATAAATTATTTTTTTTACAAAAAATTTTACATTGTAAATTATTATCATCATTAGTTGATAATTATTTTCAACTACATGCAATTTTTGCAAACTTTATTTTGATAAATTGTAAACTAGTTGTTGAATATTTCTTGAAGTGTATATGTAACAAGTGATTAATAAGATAGAATTATGAGGTTTTAATATATGTATATATTATGATAAAAATATCTCCAAGAAATATTTTGAATGATGTGGTACAAATTAAATTGATGAAGATGTAAAGTAAGAAATATAATTAACTGTAATAAAAATTTATGTATGAAATTTCTGTATTATTATTTCAAGAATTTAAATCTTTCAATTTTGATCAAGAAGTTATAATATTTACATATGAATTTTTTAAAAATGTATGTTATTTAAAAATATTAATATCTGATTAAATCTGTTAACAATTTGAAATAATCCATTTTCACATAGATTTATAGACATACAACAAGTGCAATCAACTTTTATCCATCATTTGAATTTAGTCTCAAACTGAGAATTAATTATAATCATTTGGAAAAATTTGATTGCAATGTTTATTCTCTCATCTTAAAATGATAATAAGATAATACTATATCTAATTAATTTTGATATCAAAGAATAAAAATCAATAATATTCATCTACCAAATAATCATCTAATTGAATAGTTCAGATTTTGTAAGATATGTAGTATGATTCATTACATCTATCTTGAAACTATGTAGAAAGCAAATACCTTTATGTACATATCATCATGATAAATTGCACAAGAGGGAATTGAAGTTCGGGGGACTGGATTGGGAGTAGGATCGATAAAATTCCAAGTGTATTCGTCCAATAGAGAGTAGGTTCTTGGAGAGCCGTGATGATGACAATATAATCATCTTGAATATACATTTTTCTACATTTATCAGAAAACATAACCTTATCAATAAGCTGAAATAAAATATTGATATGAGTATAAGATACAATATTAGATCAATTGAAATATTTAAAAATGTATGAAAATTTCAAGATAATTGAAATGGTTGAAAGCAAGAGATGAAGAACTTTAAAAAAATATACTACAATTTAAAAAACATGTCCAAGTCAAGTTGTTAAATAAAAATATAAAAAAGTTTTAACTTCATATAGCAAAGTATATTACAATTAGACTGATATTCGCATAGTTGCAAAATTTATATGTATCAAATGGATATTTTCTAAGCATTTATCATATATATTTTTTGATTTTTTGTTAAGACAACCTATAGGTTGCTTAAATCCAATCATGAAAAGCTGATTTGTAAATTAATGAGGATTGAGCAAGCCTCTAGGCAATACAATGTAAAATTATGATGACATACTAAAAGCATAAATCCGTTTAAAGGTTTGATTGATGTCTATGAATGAATAAGTTGAATTAATAATAAGTTAACTCACATTATTTTAATACTTTTTTATGAATTATATGCTAATATTAGCTCAAAAGGTTCAATATGAGATGCAGAAATGTATTAATTTTTTCATTCAAGATCTATTACTATGAATAAAAAAATATTTTGTATTTCAAAAGATAATTCTTAAGTTATAAATATAATCTTGTTGAAATAAAGCATATATTTTTTGTCAATTTTTCTATATAGTTATAAAATATGTCATAATTTGCACAACATTATCAACTTACTTATAATTTAAAGTAATAATATTTTAATTTAATTTTGATAAAAAGTGTTATTATAATGATAATTAAAAGTTATTTTTTTTTTTGATTTGAGATTTTGAATTGATCTTTTTTTTAGATTTATTATCGACAAAAAAGATGATCATATATTGGATATAATATTCATTTTTATGTGCAATTTTATTGAAATCATCATGATTTTACTATCTACATCCAATTTCACTTATCTAATTGTTTCATTGACTATCATCTTCTATCATCTTGAATCCTTTATTTTTGTTCGGGAGTATTTTTGTTGATGGTTGAGAACACTGATTGAGATATATGAGAATCCTTGAATGATTAATATGATAGACATTGATTGATGTCATGACGTTTTGTAATTATCTTCAAGATATGATATTTCCTCATTATTTAAGCATGTGGTAAATGATGGTTAATCACTAGAGTTTAAACTAGATTTACATGTAAAAATATTTATGTTCTCTCATATTATAACTTCCAGTTTTATCATTAACTTATCGCTTTGATCATGCTTAAAAGTTTAATAAGAATACCATGTTGGAGACTAGTTATCTGAAAATCGAAGTCAATATTCAAATAACTATTTTTATTATCAACATGCATGAAGTTACGTCATGCATATCGGTAATTATCATTATTTCCAATTATACTCCCAAAATATACGAAAATATCACCAATCCTCTACAAATTAAATCATTAGGAAGAATTCGTCATTATTGCATAATGTGCTACCTTATCAATCTGTGTTTGAAAGTTACCCTGCTGTCGTGCGCGGTGGGAACAGGGTTGTGGTGTTTTCTCTCAAGTCGCAAGTTTAGTCCAGAGAAGAGTATGGGCGAGAGAAGAGTATGGGCGAAGCTTGGAAAGATTTGAAATATTCAGAGCATAGTCGAAGCTTGGGAAGATTTGAAATGTTCAGAGTGTGTTCGAAGTTTGTGAAGATTTGAAATGTTCAGTGTGTGTTCGAAGCTTGGGAAGATTTGAAATGTTCAGTGTGTGTTCAAAGCTTGTGAAGATTTGAAATGTTCAGAGTATGTTCGAGGCTTGGGAAGATTTGAAGATTTGAAATGTTGATACCGCTATCCGCGCCACGCTGCAGCGCAACACTCGTGTGCAGCGGGAGGCGGACGATGATTATTTCAAGCAACAGATGAGTATCGAATCCCATTATGCTCTCGCTGTTCAAGCTCTTTGCACGAAGCTCTCTCGTCGAGAATACTCATCACAATCTTCTTGATTAATCCAATCCACGTACATAACAATAGAGGACAATAGATCTTGACCTGACACAGTCTTCACATATTGTTGCCATTTTACTTGTGCTTCATATTATCGACTGAACTGCTGTAAGTGTCACAGACAATAAGTTAGAACTCACACAGACAGGTTTGCTCACATTTTACATACAAAGTCTGAATCTTCCGTCAACATTTGGATGTGAAGTAATGAAACATTGACTAATTTCTATAACTTTCTGAAATTATTTTGATGGAGGTTGGAATCATACACCATTCAACTTGAAATGCATCAGTTGCGAGTTTCAACACGTTATACAACCAATTGTAGAATTTTTTAATGTTGGCGTTAACGAATTATTAGCCAGAGTTGCAGATTATATCAACCTTCAGTACACTGAGTGAATTATTAACTGATTATATTTTCTCAGGCTCACTTTCATCTTCTGTCCACGCTGACCTTTTGAATGTTTTTTTCTCAACTCTTCTACACATTTCTCTCAAGAGCTACTGTGCTAAACTCTTTTGGTTTATGTATATTTCACTACTTCTATGTGAGGCTTTATAAAATCAAATTTTAGTTGACTAAAGTAAGAACTCTTCTGATAGAGATGACAAATCTAAAGAACTTTCCTACTGTAGTCATGTTTAATGCTTTGTAGATATCGAAATGAAAATTGAAGGCTTGTAAATAGATTACTATTTTGACGCAGATCTTTCCTTGTTCATCAATTATACAAAGAATGTGAATACATCGAAGTAAAATTTGAGAAATTAAATGTATTTTAGTTTATCTTCCACTTCAATATATATGTTTTTTACATATGCTCTTCTATATGATAATGGTGTTTGAATGTAAACGATTTAATGCAGTTTACAGAATCTTCACTTTTCAAAACATTGCATTAAGGAGTTTACTGATAAAATGTAATCTTTGTCTTATGTAGCATTCAGATGGTGAAATTTAATGAAAAAGTTTTTGATCTAAATCAATGTTTATACAAATGAATCGATTTTTTTAAAATCGATTCATTTATATAAAAAAAATCAATGTTGAATTTTGACTTTGATTTAATATGATTGATTCTTGCATATGATATATGATCAATACATATGTTAATGTACATTTGACTGCTCTTTGAACTTATTATTTCTCAGAGATATATATATATTTATATACATATATATAATTTTTTACATATAGATTCTTACTCGATGCAATGACTTATCAATTGTAAATTAAAATGAAGTCAAAAAATCGTTGATTTCTAAGTAACAATTTTCTTGAAAATAGAAATATCAATCATTAATTAATGATTGATAATAATGTTGAAGTTTTATCTTTTGAAAGTTTTAACTCAACTAGATTTTTTTCGCAAAGAGATACTTAATGATTGTAAATATTTTACTATGCATTTCCAATTTACTGTAGTGCTCAAGTGAATCTCTAAGAATTTAAAATGTTTTACATAGTTAAAAAATGTCATGAGTATGTACAAAAGTAATCTTTGTACTAGAAATTCTAATTCAAACTCTGTGATTTTATTAAAATTAAATTTTACTAAATGAAGCTTGTAATACTATCTAATTTGTACGGTTGATTCTCATATAATATTTCATTTTTTGCCAATTCTTGTGATAATTTTTGAATCCATTACATGGATTCAAGCTTGGCTCAAAGCACACCACTTTGAGCGAAGTCCAAAGTGAAGTTTAGACTTGTATCTTATGGAATTTTCATTTAAGTAAAGTTCTTGGCATTCAAATTTTTAATTTTTTTAACACAAACCAATATCTTTCATTTCAGATTATGGTTAATTCAATAAATAAAGTTTCTATCAACAAAATTTCTATCTACCACTGATTATGTTGATTTGTAGGTTCATCCGTTTACTTTCTATCTCAACGCATTCAAAATCAGCACAGGTGAGTGTTGCAAAATATCTCAATGGCAACTGGTGTGTGATAGTACACAATATAAAAGCTAGAAGTGAATCTTCATCTCTTACTTCCGTTTGTAAACTATTTCATTTTTTTTTTATCTTTACTGTTATACACAGTGAGTATACACATCATTCTATGAATAGATTAAAAAAATTATATTTGTTAGTTATTTGATTTATCCGTAAATGTTGTATCAAACCAATCACATGTGAGAAAAATTTCGATCCATAGCAGCTGGAGGTGTGTCTGCATTGTCATTCTTCTCTTCTTCTTCTTACGTGATTTATTTATTCACTGATGGTTGTTAAGAAACCTTTATTACCAACTGTCTAGAAAAGAAAAAGGTTGTGACTGTGAAAAAAATAAAAATGTGCGTATTAAAATTTTAACTGTGTTTCGAAGACCATGGAGGGCTCGTCATCTCCAGCGGTTTCAAAACTACCAACCAGGCGACGTCCAGAAGATACAGGCAATTCCAGCGTGGCCTATCTGGCTTCTGAGCCAGAAATTAACCTTCCTGAAGATACAGACAATTCCAGCGTGGCCTATCTGGCATCTGAGCCAGAAATTAACCACAAAAAAGCGTGAGCAAATAATCTTTTGTTCTCAGTAACACTGATGTTTTGCACTTAATAGTTTACATCGGTCTATCATGGCAAAGTCAAGGAATCTGAAAATATTCTTGTTATGATTGCAGCGGCCATGAACGCATAAACAGAAAGAGGCATGTATTGTCTCATGTGACTCTTCATCCACCAAAGAAACAATTTATAAGGTGGACGCAGGAGGAGGTTAGTAAGTTTTTATTCAAAAACCCCATTCTGAGTGTCCTGTCACGGATGACTTTATCTAATCATAAGTGACATTCTCTTATGGTCTCACATTATATCTTTGATATGAGTATCGTCATAAGGCTTAATTATAGATCTTTTGCCTGTTTGACTTATCCGGCTCCATCTAAGCTATTCCTACCTGGACTGGGTCTTCTGAAGGCTCATTTCAATATAGGAAGCACGGATTGGACATACTTTAATACTTACTGGCATTCCAAAATGACCATTCGAAGTTTTGTTCTGAACAAAATATTTCAAGCCAAGTCAAATTTTCTGCTTCATAGTTGCAGGATGAAACTTTAAGCGCGGAAGTCGCCCGGCATGGTGGGCGAAACTGGAGGCAAATTGGTGAGTGGAAGAGGTGTATTTATGTTCTATCTGTTTTTTGTGTAAGTGTCTAAGGCTGGACCGTCACGGTCGATTAGAAAGTCTCACTAAATGTGTAAAACTGTTTGTATATGCAGCTACAGCTTTACCAAACCGGTCAGAGGTTCAGTGCCTTCATCGTTGGACGAAAGTAATCCATCCAGGTCTTGTGAAAGGATACTGGACCAAAGAAGTTAGTATACGAAGCCAAGCGCTCGTGGTTTCAACTTGCATGCAAATTAGACTGGAGACACATATGAAACCATATAATGGCAAAATTGGGTATTGATTACAATGGCTGTATCGGCAGGAAGATGATCGCATGATTGAATTGGTAGCGATACTCGGGAATAAGCGATGGGCTGCCGTCGCTCGCTCATTACCGGGCAGAAATGGAAAACAATGTCGCGAACGGTGCGTTTCAGTATCTGAATAACACTTTTTCTTGATGCTTAGTGTAATTCAAGTTACAAAGTCATGGGTGCTTCGAGATGCACTTCTCAGAATAGATGCATGCAACTTGTGCAAGATATGTTCTATGTGCAGAGAGGTGCTTATCGATTTTCCAAGTGATATATTTTAAGCGGTTGTAGTCCAAGCTTACAGTGTTGGAAAATGTAGCTGAACAGTGATGTTTGTTTTGAGGTCTACATCAGCGATTATATGCCTGTATGTTTCTCATTAGATTCTTCTATTTCGATATATGAGAATATTTCGAAACTTCATATAGTTATAAATTGACATCTGGACATTTTGCAATGAAATTCTGAGAAATTCCGATAAGTTATGAAGATTATGAGCTCCTGGACATATATATCATATAATATATAATCAGCTCCTGCACATACTTTATTGCTTGACAGATGGTGCAATCACCTAGATCCCCAGCTAAAAAAAACGCCTTGGACTGGGGCCGAAGATTTGATGCTCTTCTTGGCTCACCAGAGAGTTGGAAATAGGTGGGCTCAAATAGCTAAGCTTCTTCCTGGAAGGTAAGAGAACTTATATCTGCAGTAATCTCAAATATTGTTAGAAGACTGATAAGAAGACTCTCCTTTCCAATTTCCTGATTACACATAATCTACACAAAATACAGGTCGGATAATGGAGTAAAGAACAGGTGGAATACGGCAGTGAGGAAGAAGGAACAACAATTGGAAGAATTCTGTGCGGAATGGGACAGACAGAACGAATCTGGGGAACATCAGTTACTGACTAGAGGCACAGTAATCGGGGACCTCGAGGCATCTGCAAGCTTTTTTCCACCAGAGGCCATTTTTCAAGTTGAGGACTCCAAAGCGGCCCAGGACGATGAAAGCCTGATTTACTTGAATCTAGAGGATTTCTAAGGTTTGAAGTTCATCACGGTATCAATAAGTAGCAAGTCCTGCACTTACAGTTCATGATTAGTTCTTATCTTGATCAGAAACTTGAGTTCTGACGATAATTTAAGGTTTTATCATAGCTTTTAAGAGCTATTTGAGACTATGTGGATGGTTATTCTTTCGTTCGAATATATTTTTTGTAACTAAGATGGATGTATATATTTTCAAAGTCTTGGCCGTCGTAAGATCAGTGTGTATTGAGTTAAAGATTATGTAGCTTGTCAAGCTTATTCACTGATATAGTCCTTTAATAATCTATTAAAAGACTATTTTTTCGTAATCTGAATTCTGCGGTTTGGTCTTACGGAGAGAGTCAGACTCAAAGCTTTTGATCTAAAATTGATGTTTTCTTGTAATTGTTGATATCCAAAATCAATTACTAAAGTCCACAGAATGCATTGCATGACAATTATGGAAGTTATTAAACAAATCAATGTAGAAACCAATCTTATACATAGGACTAGATTGAATGAAAAATGCCATGTCAATCACATGAAGGGGGAATCGAGCTTTTTGCTATCTGACGCCATTCTCATGGCATATAAGGAAAATCAGAAAAGCGTAAACGAAGGTGGTGAGAATTAAAGTGAGGGGGAGGGTGGGATAATCAAATCAACAGGGTGGGAGTAACAGTGAATAATTATATAGTTATCTTTATATTTTGCAAGTTTTTTTAATTGTAAAACCGCAAATACGGATTGGATAAGACGAGTGCTGCAAGAAGGTGTTGATACAAATCACTTTGACATCACATAATCCCCAATTGAAACTTGTGAAGATTCCTGGAGAGTGTGCAAGAGTTGAAAGTGATTTGTTGATCAAACGAACTTGAAGAGACAACCTGTCTATTCTTGACTTGTGAAACTATAAAATCATTCAATGTAACAAAACATACACCTCTCTCCTGCGACCATTTACCACGATGTTGATGCCATGAAATCTACGTGAATAGAGCATGCGGTACTCGCGTAAAAACGAAAAAGTTATCGAGTACCGTGAAGGATAGAAAAAGCAAATCAGTAGGGTGAGAGTATCAACCCTTCATTATAATATACACTTGATTGCTTACCAGGACGCAATTGGCCACGGGAATATAGGAAGGAATATATATATATATCAATCTGAAATTTATAAGCTCGTTATCGTATACTTAATCCTTACACATATTCTGGAAAGATTTTTCTCAATTTATAGATTTCTAGTCTTAATTAACTAAAAGACATGAAAGCTTTCATTATTCAAAAATTTTATGTAGCATTGCATAATGTCGTTTTCTGTTCACGTGAAGATCTGGTTTAATATTCACATGATTTTGTTCACTATTATTAGCGGTGGGGAAGTGTAGCCGTGATCGCTGTTTGGCTCTTCACTCTTAGGTCTGACAATTTCTGCGTAAGAAGAGCCAACTTCAAAGTAAAAACTGGATGAACAAAGCTTCTGCCAAATGTGGAAAATATTGAGACTTTTTAGAATATGAACCCGACTCAGCTCTCTTCTCCTAGCAGCTGGTACTTTCTCACACGCGAATCACCAAAATTCTTCCATCAGCCTCCTCAAAATTCTAGTTAAACTAGATTTTACAATCATGTTCTACTCTCTTCATGGCAATATGTCCCTTCGAGGCAATCTGGCCCGAAGACGACTCAGCTCTCTTCACCTAGCAGCTGGTACTTTCTCACACGCGAATCACCAGAACTCTTCCATCAGCCTTCTCATAATTCTAGTTAAACTAGGTTTTACAATCATGTTCTACTCTCTTCATGGCAATATGTCCCTTCGAGGCAATCTGGCCCGAAGATCGCTATAAAAAGTCCTCAAAGTAACTATGTATTATAATGCAAAGAACGATCTGTTAATTTTAGGATACTTTCTTTTGTACCGATATCATACTCGATGAGTAAAGAATTCGCTAGTATGATATTCATTTTACGTTTAGCAAGAATTGGGGCCGATTCATGATCTAAAGCTGAAGGTCACAAAACACCAATTGAAGCCATCCCCATCTATCAAGATATCGCCCCCAGATATGATCGAGAACATCGATATTCTTGTCTACTTCTAGCTAAGCTGTTCGATCCAATGTACGTTCGGGGTTTGAACCCTGAAGAAGATGATTGTATAGAGGAACTTCAACTTATCGATAGTGCCACACTGACTTAACACGATTCGGCTGACATGGTAAACAAACTGATGGCTATCGTGTTATGACTCGAGCAGCAAAAGATGTGCACAAATGGAAGAGATCGTTAAGGAGATCGTCAAAAGGTTGTAGAGGAGATTGAGGGCCGAGATTAGGAGTATATGCTGCAAAGATAAGAGAATATTACAGATCTGGGCTAAAGTGTTGTTTTACGGGTGTGATGCATTCGAAGTGAAAGAGTTTGGCCACCTTAGAAATCTTGTAAAATCTTGTGATACAAAAAAGCGCCAGTAGTAGATTCACATTCTTTACGAATTTCTGAGCTTCACAGAAAGGGTTTAAGGTTTAGGCTGGAGGCTTTTGGCAGTTATTTGAAGATGTTAAGAAATTTTAAGCAAATGAAAACGAGGAGGTAGAAGTATGACCGTAGAGAGATAATCTGGAACGTGTGTCGTACATCATTACTATGGACCATGCAATCAAACATAACAGCATTTCTTGTGTGTTATACACGGTCCCTACTACCAGAGACTGGACCTTGGAGTTCTAAATGGTTGAGTATGAATGAACAAATGTAAGCTATGGAATTTGAGATTGCGAAACCCACACACACAAGATATTCTAAATTTTGTATTTACATGTTTTGCATATCGTCGCATTTACAATAGAGTATAGGTAGCAAATTTGAAAATCCCTGATATTCTCCCCAGTTGCCCTTCCGTTGAACGGGGGAGCTGTGATACAGTCTCAGTCAGTACAGTCTCCTTCAAAACTACCTAGCAGCATACTCCCTTCCACGTTTGAGAGATGACTTTCGATTCGAGCTTTATGTGACTCTCTTATAATGGCCTAAAAGAAACATGACACACTAAAGTGCAAACTAAACGTGATGCAACAGAATAAATATCTGAGGTCGCTCGCAATTGGACCCAACTTTTGGGCATTGGAACTTTCTACTTTAAGAGCTTCAGAGTTCCTGTCGGCCGCCGAGGAAGTGGAGAATCAGAATAATAGAGGCCTTGGAGAATACCATACGACAAACTTCTATGCTACACACGCCAAATTAACACATGACGCACTACTTTCTGTTTTCCCTACCCGATCCTGATATAAGCACTAGTGGTTGTGGAACCCACAGCCACTAGTGCTTATGGAATCCTTCATGAGAAATTACGTGATCGGAGGCGATCGCGTCTGCGTCGAAACTCGGGAACGCATTGCAGGGAACAGTGGAACAGGGAGTGTGCTGAGGCTGCGGTCCTCTTAGCTTGGCAAGGTCCAATTAGTTTCGGCCTTCGTCCCATGCCCTTCTAGGTAGAAGAAGGTCGTGGGTTGAGATCGGTGTGCTCGAATGTAAATGAGAGATTTGGATCGATCCAGTTCCACAACATGTGTGCTGAAACGGGCTGGAGACAGGTTGTGTTAGTCAAAACCAAATGTGCAGAAGGAAACAGATGGAACGTCTCCGTCTCTCCCAGCAACTTCTCGCTAAACTCGGTGAAGGAAGAGTACCACTTCTTCGGATCCTCACCGACGGGTCCTTGGATTTTTTTCGTGAAGTGTGAGACAAACTTTCTGCTGATGAGGTCATGCTTGTTCACATAGAGATACGGAGACCAATTGGCTTGGGCCAGTTTATTGAAATCGTCAAATGCTTGTTTTTTTTTCCTGGCGGTTTTTTCGGTGTCGGCGTCGGCCACTGCATGGTATAATGATTTAGCAGTGCTCTTAGCAAAGTCATAGAAGTGTCCAACCTTTTCCGGCAATGCATCTTTAATAACACCTTCCACAACATGTGCACAGCTGCGCGCCAGCGATTCCACAGTGGTGAACGGAGGATTGAAGAAGTGACCCTCGAGCACATAGCCTTCGAGTGCCAGCCTTCGACAGACCAGCAAGCCCGCTGCGGCCCCGAGTGAATGACCGGTCACGTGCACGTTGTAGTGCTTATGTTGCTGACTGAGACGCCGGACCACATACTCCAGAAGTGGGATCAATGTTGAAGAGTTCAGAGTCTCCAGAACGATCTTGGCATCGTTGTAGAGATCCACCAAAGCCTCGGGCTCAGTTCCCCGGATGGCGACTACCCACTCTGGAGCCTCGGCTAAAGGACTGTCCTTATTTCGTTTGAAGACACCGAAGTACTGGTGCTGACGCTCAGCCTCCAGTTCTGCACAACCATATATTTTTGGCCGTAGTCAAGCAAGGTCGGATTCAGATGGGGTTCAGGTCGAGATGGATCATGTGAGTCCGATACAACACGCACCTGTTTCATAGAGTTGAAGTTCTTTCTCAGTCAGTACTGACTCCAAGGGGACCAGATGATAGTGCACCTTGGTCCACCATTCCTTGTATTCTGTTTCCGGTGCGCGTCTGAACCTGTCGTACATACCATAGACCAGCCTTCCGTGGATGATGACACGATTCTTGATCTTCCGCACTCTTGCATCACTGTCATGATCATGGGCCGACATTGAGCTTGATCAGTTACACCGTATCTTAGACGCTAAAGCTTCTGGCCTTCTTCCAATACACGTAACAAATTCTTACGAAGATTAGTACAGGCAATATCAAACTTGAAGTCTAATCAGTCTTCTTACCCTTTCTGATCCTTTGCGTGAAAGATCAGTCCTGGATCGTTCTTCTTTGCTTCCTTCTCCTTGTGCTTATTGTAAGCGCGGTACGTCAAATAGGAGATCCCAGCAACCACGATTGCTGCCATGGTCTGGTCTCTGAAAAGGATACGAACGTGTCTAACCTCGTGCCAAAATGACAGGCATGGTCGGGATCCCCGTGCGAATCCCCACAATTCCCATACAAAGACGCCCTCTTGTGCCGCCCAGACCGAGGCGTGCAAGCTCACCCCACACCATGAAGCCACTGCCATTGAAACTGGCTTCTGAGCTGATTTATATGCTGCACATGCTTGGCTTCGGTGTTTCTAGGATCACGCGGTGGCTTTGACCTCCCGTGTCTTAGACCTTCTGTCCGGCCACGGCTTCCGAATCATCGTCATCGAATCATCCCATGATCATGATCATATGTACCACACCGTACTCAGGAACCCATACTCAGAAATAAAATATTGTAAATGACAGAAGTTTCAACTCCTGTTTAACAACTCGAGTGGCATAGAAGTCCACGACAGATACCATGCAGAATCTTTCTACAAGTTGAAATTATATTATAAGCTAAAAAAAGGTAAACATTGACGCAGATAGTGCACTCACTTCCGAGTCTTCCGAGTCTTCGTCTCTTTCTTTCATTACATTTAAACGAAGAAGTCAATATTCCGCGCATCATCGCATAAATTTTGAGACTTTCTTGTGTCACTTCTTGATATGAGGTCAAGCTCTTTTAGAAATACAGATATACTCCCGTATATCTGGAGCAGCCGATGTTCTTCTTCGACATCTTCGTCGCTTATGTTGCATGTTTATGACGGATGGTGGGTCCGTGGATGCGTTTGGATGGTAGCAGTATCATCTTCCAGGTGTCTACCTTTGAAGCTTCATTAAATCATTCGTAGAGGATGAGGCTAGCTAGTTCGTCATTTGAATAGCCGGTGATCGATGAATAGCTGTGGAAAAAAACGGGTAGACCTTTGACTGATATTTTGACTGATAGTGATACCCGGATGTGGTTGTAGTGTTCAAAAACAGTAAACCGTGTCATATATCTTAATTGTGTGGGTAATTTGGACGGCAAATGAGCAAAACGAAATTAACGAAGGCCGTCAATCAGAGTGAACAATTGAAACCTCGACGATCGGGATGGGGAAACCGAGTGATGAGAGGACAGGGATGAGAGTATGGGAAGGAGATAAGTATGATGAACTGGGTTAGCAGGAGAAGGGAGGAAAGAAACCGTGTGCAGGAAGAGGTGGGCATCACATCACACCATGAGGTATAATTCTTTCCAACCTTTGAGCTCGTGGACGAAATCATGCTCCAAGAGGATCAAGTGGTGAGTATAATGCTAATTGCACCTTAGCTCGGCTCATCTTCGCCCACGATGAGCTGTGACTTTGAAATTGGGATCAATCACTGAAAGTTGATCTTAGCACAAACGAAAGATACACAGGCTCGTCAAGTTGCACCTGTTGTGCACCAGTGTTCAATTCCCATCCTGCTCGCTAGTGGTCCTGGCGTCTCGCTCACAATTACAACTGACCTTTCAGTTTCTGCATGAATGCGAAGTATCAACATCCTTTGTTTACTGCTTCAACTCTCAACTCGTTCCAATTGTATGTGAACTAGCTGGCTGTCAAGGTAGTATCTAAATATTAAATCATATAACTTCACTACAGAATATATCTGTTAGATCGTAATTGGATATATAACATTTGAAGATAGTAAAACTTAAGAGATCCATGTAAAGGGTGTTATAAGTTTTTTTATCGCCCTTGTACGTCCCTTGAAGTAAGTGAAGAAACAGATTTTTTATTCTACCGGAATATGCATGGAATCTGTCAGATTTGCAGTTGTGTTGAAGCTTTTTTTCTACTAATCAAAATTACCGAAAGATTGTGGAATTACACTGAGATTTTGATAGCGATAGCCCATGCATTAAGTACACCAGCATGCTTGACTTCCATCATTATGGAAGAAGGGAGAGATGCAGCGGAAAGCATTGGATGCATATTTGAAGTTGCGCGCATAAAGTAGAAGTTGTAAGTGCAAGTCAATTATAGATGCTATGTGGCATACACATCGTTTATATATATACCCAGAACTCAAGCTACAAGGAATAAACGATTACGGGAACAAGCACAAAGAACAGAAGCTAAGGTTTATCCGTTTGGGGTCCAAATTTAAAAAAAATGTGAACATCCACTTCCAATAAATCGGAGTTGAGCCCTCACCTTCATTCAAGCGTTGCCCTATTTAGCATTGAGATGTAGTGTACTTCACTGGTTTATAATCATGACTAGAATCCGAATGCAGCTTGACTGTGCATAATTGGTTGGAGGACCGAAAGGACAGAGGTTAGTTATACTATATAGCTCCCTGCAAGTGGGTATGTTGCCATGTTTTTGTTTCATAATCTTCGTATCGTGAGTTCAAGGGCATGTGTTCCACGCTCATAGGCCGTACGACTGATGAAGAGGGGTGACTTCTCTGAGCTGTTACATTTCTGGGCGAGTTTTTGCATTCTGCTACAAAGAGTCAGTTTCACCCTACACGTACTACATGTTAAAAGACAATATTCTTTTGCTCTATGCACATAGAGGGATTGTGCCATCATTCTCTGGATCTGTAGTATAGTGAGTATTTGAGTCCCGACAAGAGTACTTGGACTCTTTCAGTCAAGATGCTGACCCTGCTTCCTGTGTCCAGCCAGATGTGTCCAGATGCAGTTGACTTCGTTCTTGAATATTAAATTCTGGTCCCCAAAGCCTTTCTGGACCCGAAAGGAGTGCCCAAGCCACAGATCAACGCAAGTGAAGTGTGCAATGTTTCGTTAAACCGCACCTACGATGAGTTTTCATTGGGTAGAGCCGAGTGTAATTTGGGACACGATCAGACTATTGAAGTAATTGGCCGATCAGCTCGGTCTCCCTAGTGATCAAATTTTCATTTGTGATTCTATAGACATATATGGTCAGTATTTGAGGTATACATGACAAAGCCTTCAATCCATTCGTGATTCGTGATTTCACCGGTTATCATTATGAGTATGCTGGGAGCAAGTACTTCAGTTCAAATAGGCATTCGTAGAATCAACCAGTCCTGTCGAATTGTGTTTGATACCGGACCCCGTTTGCGAGTGACTAACCTATTCAATGATTAAGTTCAAGGATGGGAAAATTTGTGATATCAATAACTCATGTTATACTGATCGAATTCATAGTTACATAACGGAAAGCATAATGGACTCTTCAAGTTATATCCAAGGGAGCTTCATGACAAGCATATGAATCGGATTCTGTAAGATTTTCTTACCTCATGAAGAAATCTATGAGTTCCAAGTATTCAAGTCAGAGTGGAACTAGAGGACCTAGGATGAACACGTAGAAGAAAGTAGATCGAATTATTTGCACATGCTGAGGACTTAAGATTTGAGCAGATAACAATATGATACAGGTGAACCGTCACGATCAGACTTTGTCACCATCGTAGCTCCAGAAAATTTTGAGTTTTTTCAGATGATATCACAAAGTTTTACTCCTGTGTTTAAACCACGCATTAATGTAGATGTTAATGCATGATCTTTGAACTTACTCAATTAATTTCAGGGTCATCCTCCGTCGCGTCAGTTTTCATAACGTGACACAGGCCCAAACTATCATTATGAAGATAGTGACTTTTGTTTTGGACTCCACAGCTTACCCTCCCCGGCCCTACCCTGGCCTCCCGTCCTGAGTCGATCCAACTTTAGGTACTCGCTCCATCCTCAGCTGCTGGTGAAGAAGGGGTCAATGTTCCACACTGTCCACTTGGAGAAAAGGCCTGCATTGCGAGGGATCGAGTCGTCCAGTTCAGGCAAACGTTCGAGCTGGAGGAGGAGGAGGACCTGAATCAGCGAAGGCAGCCTTTGACCTCATCGGATATCAATCCCATCGGTCCGCGTCTCTCTCTCACTGGCGTGCATTATGAGATAAATGTCGGGACCGCTTGAGAATTGTTAGAGAGGAGGTTTATCCCACAAGGATTCGTCTAGAATCCAGGCTTGTTGCTAGTGACTTGGAGCAAAAGTACGGAGTGTACTACAAGAGAACTTTGCCACCAGAGTCCGCTGACCTACTCTTGGACCAATGGTAGATTCCAAGGTAATATATTTTAATAGAAGGTAAAACTATCACTATACCTTACGTGGATGATGTTCTGATTTTTGGGAGCAGTTTTCTCGTGTCGCGGAATCAAGACCCAACTTTGCTTAAGGTATAAGAGGAAGGATTTAGGTAGAGTCTCTTGTTATCTTGGGTAGAAATTGTATATGTCAATAAGAAGGGAATTTTTATGCATCAAAACGGCTACACTGAGTACTTACTCAGAGAGTGCAACTTGGACGCGTCATTGATCGAATCAATCTTGCTTCCGGTTGAGCTTGTTCTTGAAGCAAATACAAATACGCCACCCGTTTACACTTCAAAATATGGTCACCTGGTCCATAAGCTCAATTTCCTCTACCACACTTGCATTGATATTATGTACGCTGTTGAATTTCTTAGCTGGTTTATGCATAAACTACGGATGGGTCATTGAAATGCTGTTCAACACCTCCTACGGTACATCAACAACACCGTTAACTTTGGCTTGCTTTACAAAACATGATAACAACATAACCAAGGCTATACTGGCGCGGATAACCTTAGTTTTCCTAATACCAAGACACAAATTTGAAAGGAAAAACATAAACGGAACCCCCAAATGGGTATTCGGTGCGCTCATGATATTTTTATATGCAGAATGAAGCATTTCTTTTTTAGGGCCGGTATAAGCAAGGAACACCAAAACATGAGATACAAGACTACATTTGAGCTTCCGTTGAAGGGAAGGGATCGATTCTTGGAAATGACAATGTTTTGGCGGCCATCCAGCGGCCCCGAACGAACTGGCAGAGGGGAGACTGGGAAAAGCAAAAGGTGCGCCGGGGGCTGGAGAGCGCAAAGCGTCGGGACGCGATTGACCCGCAACACCCCGCAACAGAGCTTCTTAGCTCACCAGCGGCCGAGATGCACAGCGCCAGTTTCTGATCCCAAATATAGCCCAAACACCA